TCAGTACGGCGCACAGTGGGCTGAAAATCGGCTTTCATAGACTTAGGGATTTCAATTTGCAAGTGCTGTATTTTTTGCTGGTTATCGCTTCTATTAGTGATCACTATACACAAAAAAGATATCAGAGTTAATTCTGCACAAAAATGAGGATATTATATTTTTTTTACGAATAATTTGTATGAAGGTAGTATGAAAAATAGAATTATCTCTTAAACGGCAAGGAAAACCGTAATATCCTTACAGGTGATTATAGTACTATTTATTTATGGTTTTTTGACATAATTCACATAACGGTTTTCAATGCCATTTTTTTTTTAAAAAATCATCAAAATATTTTTATACAATATCAAACCTTCCGATCCTTTTAGTGTTAATGTTAAGAACATCCGTATGAGGAATGTTATCGATCCAAAAATTAAGAATGTATAAAACAAGAAATTACATAAAAAAACTCTTTTTATTGATTATAACTAAAAAAGAGGTAACAAAAACCGTATTTAAGTACTTTAAATACAATAATACAAATTTTAAGATCAATTAATTTAAGAAAGAAATAAACTAATTGGTACAATAAACAATCAACTAATAAATAAAGAAATAATACAATAAACAAACCATACAATGAACAATAAATAACAACAAAACATGAAAAATTATAATAAGAATTATAAATCTTCCCTGTCACTCTCGTTATCGGTCTCCAATTCTGAGTCAGAATTTAGATTGGATATATCTAGAAACTCGAACTCAGTTTCCTGAATCTGAATTAAGTCGAGAGTTTCAGCAAAAAACATCTGCTTTTTCTTGGCATCTAATTTAGGCCTTTGTGCACTTAGGAAAGGATCCGAAGAAACAAGAAGCATGTTTAAGATATCTTGATTAGAATCTTGCCTGCTTCTTTTCTGCGAATGATGGTCCCGGAACCTCCTAAAATCTTTATTTCTAGACTCTGAGGCTTCTTCTGAGAGAGTCCCAATTGGCACGATATCATTTTTTTCGATTATATCAGCACCGTGTATTAATAATTTATGTACGGTTGACGACATATAGTACCAGTTATATAATTCCACGTACCAATCTGCTGTTTTACGGGCAAAATCTCTAAACTTCATTACGTCGATCTTCTCGCCAGATGTTATTGCTTGCAAAATCACTGCAAATCTTTTAATTAGCTCTTCATCCAGCCCGGTAATAGCTGCAGTTTTATTGGGAGACTCGAAAAACTTTCTTGCAGTATTCCCGTCATTCGTAGTTCCCGAGCCTTGTTTAATTATATCAATCAACAAATTGAGCTTATTTTTGAATTTATTTTGAATATTTTTTTTTCTAGTCTGCAACATTTCTTTGTGCTCGTTACTTCTCGCTGCCCACTGTTTGAAGTCGAGCCTGTACGCAATGTGTAACAGACATTCCATGCAATTTATGCGAGCGTGTAGGGATGACAAGCCAAATTCGTATAAGTCAGAACATACATTCTTTGATGTTACAGCATCTAAGCGATTCATTTCTGTAGGTTTTGCTAGGCACAGGTAGCACGATGCATTTGATCTGGCTTCGGAAAGGTACGTGCAGACTTTAGCATCGATCATAGTCATCATTAGTTGATGGGTCACCTTGTTGCTATTACTGCACTCTGTGGGGATAAGGGCCTTAATTTCATCATCCATTTGTCTTTTGTGCTCAATGACAACTGCTTCGCTCTCCTTTACAAAAGTGAACTGAACTGGACGACAATACAAAGCTGAGCATGGTTTTGGGTTCATCCATACAGTTTTATCTCCATCTGTCAGTTTTAGTGGCACCAAGGAGGTCATGAAAATGCTTGAATCATCTTGCTCACTCTCCATTTTCTGCTTGTATCTTCTTTGGTTGGAGGCACCATCAAATCCCCACTTCGATAGCAGGTTTAGCTGCTTATTTTGCACATCTTCAGAAAGACTTTGAATGATCCTCATCACAGTAATGTCGAGTAAAGCTTGAAGTGTAATCCTGGCTGATGAATCCGTAACTGACACTGATTGCTTCGGAGGGTAGCAATCAAGCCTAGTTTGTTGTAGTTTATAGTAGGATGGATAAATATCCTTAGCACCTTCTCGAATGGCTGCTTCTCGCAACGTAATATATTGCCACTTTGACAGTTTTAGTGAAACAAACAATCCAAGCGCTTTCTCTGGTGTAAATATAACTTTTTTCACTGGTTTTATAAGCGATTCATTAATTTTAACGGCTGCTTCAGGATTTTTCATCATATATTCGATCACAGATGCAATATGAGGATGCCCTTCTTCTCTTAAACGTGCTGCAGCTGCATATACCGATTCATCGTCAGATCTTCTCTTTTTCTGTTTGCTTCCCAGCTCTTCGAATGCTTTTCGTGACCTTTTTGTCATTGTTCCAACAGACGATGACGTCGACGGTTCTTGAGAGACAGAGTGTGCTCTTGGTATCTCATCAATAGTTGGTTCTTGATTAAATAGAGTTTGCACACAACTTGGCCAATCAATATTTGCTTGCAACCAATTTCCGTACAGTCTTCTGAAATTATCAGGGAATCGGTTTGATTTTTGCCATCTTTGTAAAGCTGCTCGCGTGAATCTCCGACAAAATTCTTTGAGAGTTACACGATCTTCGGCAGAAAGGCAATCGCCTATGCGTGATACGATTGCACCAAACAATGCTTCATGATTAAATGAAGTACTCTCACTTTTTAGAAGAACAAACAAGTCCAAATTGGTTATTAAACTTTCCATTCTAAGATTTTGTAGTCGCAGAGTTATTCGCAAGATTAAGTATTAGCAGTTACACAGTTGTGAACAATCTAAATTATAAAGCAAAATATTATCCCTTTTATAGCAAAACGTCGATAATTAGTTAACTACCCTCATTAAAGCTAAAAAAGATTTCCTAATGATAATATACAATCGTCACAATGTTCCATAGAACTCATAATAGCAAAACTAATTAACAAATTAGCTTAATTATCGGAAGAAGGTGAATGTAGTCTATAATTAACATTGTTTCGTAATATTGCAAATCATTGTATCACCTATTCAGACTTATTTAAAGACTAAATGATTATAATTATTCAATAACTTATTTTCAGACTCATTGGTGTCGATTCTGGCATGATTCTCAAAAGCTAAACTTAAATTTGACAACAGTGTATCCTTGTCATTCTCTATATAGAATAAAAAGGACAGACTGATATTAAATTTAGTTTTAAGTTTAGAGAATGCTGCCAGAATCAACACCATTGTAAGACTAAACCATTTGTTATTTGGTCTTATAGTCGTATTTCAAACTCATTTTATGTTGATAAATATCTAGTTCAAATATACATAGTGTGAGTGTACTATAAACCTCTACTCCTTCGAGAATATAGGTGATGCATATTTATGTCATGCTGTTAAAAGTCTCTCTCTCTCCCAATATAGACACCAAGCGGAATGTTTTTTTTTTTTAAAAAGCGGCATTGATAACCGTTACGTGAAGAACGCTAAAAAATCATAAATAAGTAGCACTAAACACTAAGTAGACAGGGAAGATTTATAATACTTATGATATTATTTCATGTTTTGTTGTTATTTATTGTTCATTGTATGGTTTGTTTATTGTATTATTTCTTTATTTATTAGTTGATTGTTTATTGTACCAATAAGTTTATTTCTTTCTTAAATTAATTGAACTTAAAATTTGTATTATTGTATTTAAAGTACTTCAATACGGTTTTTGTTACCTCTTTTTTAGTTATAATAATAATAATAATAATAATAAGTGTTTATTTCAGGCACAGTAACCCATATTAAAAATTACAATAACAATTGCATTTTGTCCAATTTTGTCTTAAAATTAAATCATTGTATCACAATTCGTCAATTATTCAAATCAAATTAAATTCAGACAATAACAATAATATTAATAAAAATAAATATTATAATAAAAACTATATGACATAGTTTTACATATTAGATTGAATGAAATAAATTAAATTAATTAATTAATAAATAATCAATAAAAAGAGTTTTTTTATGTAATTTCTTGTTTTATACATTCTTAATTTTTGGATCGATAACATTCCTCATACGGATGTTCTTAACATTAACACTAAAAGGATCGGAAGGTTTGATATTATATAAAAATATTTTGATGATTTTTTTAAAAAAAAACGGCATTGAAAACCGTTATGTGAATTATGTCAAAAAACCATAAATAAATAGTACTATAATCACCTGTAAGGATATTACGGTTTTCCTTGCCGTTTAAGAGATAATTCTATTTTTCATACTACCTTCATACAAATTATTCGTAAAAAAAATATAATATCCTCATTTTTGTGCAGAATTAACTCTGATATCTTTTTTGTGTAGTGATCACTAATAGAAGCGATAACCAGCAAAAAATACAGCACTTGCAAATTGAAATCCCTAAGTCTATGAAAGCCGATTTTCAGCCCACTGTGCGGCGCCAGCGCCCTTCGAGGCAGGACCAATGAATGTCATTTTTTACCGCACGCATCCCGAGCAATTCTCCGAATGTATTTATCGTAAACCGGCTAGTGTTTCACATCTGCCAGGCGTCCCGTGACGGCTCACATTTTTTTTAATTTTAAAAGGTTGGCAAACAATCTTAATTTGGCCCGGCTGATGGTAAGCGGCCACCATAGCCTTTACAAAAAATATCACTCGCGCCGGTGCCTACCCTGACCCAACCCCTTACACCTATTTATATTTATCCTTGTTTATCACTTTGTCTCTTTTGATGAATTTACTAATTGTACCCTTAGAATTAAAGTGACTTAACTCAAAGATTTCCGTGAATTCTGACTTTGCTTAAAATGAATCTTAAAAAGCATACTCTACAACCCTGTGGAGAAAAAAGGACCTATTAAATATTTTTACTAAGATAATTTTCATTTTGAGCGTGCGTAATATCCAAACTCCCCTTTAAAGATCGTTATTTGTAGTAAATCTATCAAAACATGTATCTTTACGATCGGTTAGGTGATATCGCATGGAGTTGCGGCACGTGCATGATGCCACCGGAACCTTGGGATGGATTTCAGTCCCCCAATATGGGGGGCAGCCATCCCGCCACACCTCGCAACGGCTGCAGGCCCGGCGCCTGCGCCAACCGCCCCTACCCCAACTACCTGCCTGGGAAGGCTACACCGCGATCCAGGTAAGGCGTTTTCGATATAATAGGGATGATGACTAATTTTTTTTTCTTCGTTTATCAGGTAGATAATCAAAAAGTATTGGACACGTATTTTTTCTTTTTTCACTTAATATAAACATTGCAGAGATATATTGATTTGAAAAGTCGCATGACGTCACGTTTTGGTACAATTTTCACTTAAAAGTGTCTACACACGTCCCTTAAATCAGAGGCAATCTCGGGAAAGTGGTGGGGAGCACCCTAAATCGCTCCCTAGATCGCCTCGTAATCATCATTATTATTATCACCCCTAACTCAGAAATTGGATCGGGCGAGCTCACGATTTAGGGCCGATTCTCATCTAGGGAGCGTTGTCAGTGCGTGTGTAGCGAAATCGGGTCCGATTTCAACGCAGTGCTCGTGCGAGCGTAGTGCGAAGAGGACGCGTGTTGGGTTGATTTCCTTTTTATTCGTGCGGAGGTATGGCGAAAGATAGGAGCGAGAGGCCTGGACGAAAACCATAGATATTTATAAAGAGTTGGCGTATTTATGGGATAAGAAACACAACGATTATCTTAATCGCGACATGAGGCAGGAGGTCTTTAAAATGTTATTACAAGTATATAATGAAGAGGTCGGTAAAGACAATACGATGGCCGATTTTAAGAAGAAACTTGAAAACATGCGTACTACGTATGGAAGAGAGCAGAAGAAGGTGAGATCGCCATTAAAAATTGTTTAAAAATTAAAAATTATTATGCAGGAACCCCACAGTTTCCCTAAAATAGAAGTAGGCAGTCTAAGTTACTCCTTATTACATCAGGTATATGCCAATGAAAGTCCCGGCAAAATCGGTCCAGCCATTCCAGAGATTATCCGTAACAAACAGACAGACAAAATAAAAAAAAATTGGTATATGTACCGTATATACATTCATATGCATGTAGTAAAAAGCGGTGGGCGGCATCTTGGATCGACGAGCGTTATGTTGCACGGTGGGCTACGTACTGATTGGCAGGGACGTGTGTAGAGTAGTAGCCGATTTCATCCCCACCATCATCCGATATCTCCTCTCCCGATATCGCCTCTGATTTAAGGGATGTGTGTAGACACTTTAAAAGTGAGGTCACGAGTCCCTACTCCCAAACTTTGAGGCGCTATAACTTTGTCATTTTTTGGTTGATTGCCCAAAGAAAAAATACGTGTCCATTATTTTTTGATCATCTAACTGACGGACTCAATAGAATTTCGTTTACTGTACCCCGTCATCACCCCTATTCTTTGCATTTAAGTCATAGCTAATTTCAATACCGAGCACGGTGATATTACTTTGCAACGCCAGTGTTGTTTCTCATTGGTTTCGCCTCCCTGCTAACTACCTGCCTGGGAAGGCCACGCCATCTTGGTGAGTGTTTCCTGTTATTATGGCACCTCCCGCACTCCCGAGTCATGAAAATGGATAACCAGTGTCGTTTTTGTAGGCAGGACATTTCGCCGAGCCCTTAGATGTACAAAATGAATGGTAAGGAGTCTTGACACCGCAACCTCAGGTGGGGAGGAAGGCGTCACTGCTTTCCTAGTGACACTCACCTAGATAGCTCTTTTTGGCTAAGGGACCAGCCAATATGGTGGGCAGTCACTCCGTCAAGCCTCGCAACGGCTGCAGGCCCGGCGCCTAGCTCAACTACCTGTTTGGGAAGGCGACGCCGTGATCCGGGGTTTTTGTCCTTCTATTGTGCTTTTATGCATATTCCGTAGCCAAAACGATGCGGTCAAAAATTTATTCAGTCATTCCTGAATCACGTGGAACTGGATTTTATACCAACTATTGTAGCTACTATCAGGCCTTTAAGACGGACGGATGGGGGGCGGTACGGTGGGCACTAGGCCGCGTACCCAGCCCCCACGCGCGGGCCATCCTGCGCACGTCTGCGGGGTCCTCGCAATTCCTCGGGAGACCCCTGCCGTGGAGCCCCGGCGAACCGGGAAGCTGCTGCGTGCGGAGCCGTGGTAGAATCCCTAACGGGGACCCCGCGGCTTCGCACTAAGCAGTGTAGACGATATTCGCAGGACTTTTTAGCGGATTTTGCTGTAAAGAGCACGTAAGAGTTGCGGGGTCCTCGGTGGGTAGCCACTGGGGGGTCCGTAAGACTTGCGGGAGCCAGGCGTGAGGTCCGTTCGGCGGTGTGCCTCTTAAAGGCGCCGTCGTCTGTAAAAAGATTTTTTACCTGCGTTATAAAAGAAAGGCTTAAAAAATAAGGTACGCCCCGCTCCAGGTGATGAGTGTCTCCCTTATATACAGGATCAGCCACAGTGATTAAATTAACCGCTCCGCCTACCCCAACTACCTGCCTGGGAAGGCGACGCCGCGATCTAGGCTAGTATTTCAAATTACAACTCGTAATGTTTATTCAGTTTAGGTTGTTACAAGCACTCTTGACGGCCATGAAGCTGAGTAAGAGGAGATCGATGGAGCAAGTGGTTAGTTCTTTCGGCTGCGATCGTTGAAGCTAAGTAACGCATCACTGCGGTCATTAGATAGGTGACCAAAAATTTACTATCTCTAGCTCCTCCGTGCTTGGTCCCGGCTGCATCGCGGTCGTTAGCACCCAGAAATCAGCACTGGGCCCGTGTGGTGGGTCATGGCCCAATCTCCCTATTCCATCCATAGGGAAGGCCTGTGCCTCTGCAGTGGAGAAATTAATAGTTTGATGACGCACATCTATACATAATGAACGAGAAGCATCCTTCACATTGCAACCCCAGGTGGCAAAGATGCCGTCACGCCTTTTCCAGCCAAAAAAAGTGCCGCTTATTTTAGTAGTTAAGTTACATAAACGAGATTCAACCCACACTGGCAGTAGCCGTTCACGAGCATGACGCATGAATCAGCTCTTAGTTAGTGGCTATCGTTAGACCTATTTAAACTGGTTATATTATTAAATTTCAGTAATTTGAGTTATATTTTTGTTTATCTACAGAGCAAGAAACCCACACTGGAATCCAGGTTTCGACGAGAGATTCAAGAACCAGAGGTGCAGGAGCGGCCCCACGCCCTATTGGTAGATGACGTCACGCGATCGTCTTGTGTTATTCGATCAGCCGTGTGACGTCACTGCTCCCATGTAAATATAGTCGAAGAGCGGGGTTTTAACACTTTTTTTTCTTATGTCTTTTAGATTGTTAAATGTGATACGTTGATGAAGTCAACATATTAATGTATGATGTATGAGAAAATGAGAACCGCTGTCGTTTTGTGAACAGTCGATAACTTTATTTGATGAGCCATTTTAAAACTGTGCAATTTGGTGTTTAAAGTCATCAGTACCCTTAGTACGAGTTTTACAATTACGAAAACTATGATAGTTTTCGTGAGCTCGCACTCGTACTAAGGGTACTGATTTTATTGTTTTCCTTTCAATACAAATAAACAGTGTTTAAATTCTACCATTAAATCATTTGCGTCTAATTAAATTTTAAGTATATTTGGTTACTTTTCACCAAAATGAACATAGAAACATAATTTGCAATTACGAAAACTATGATAGTTTTCGTTAGCTCAAACTCGTACTAAGGCTACAGATGACGAAAATAATAGATCACAAATATTTTGAATATTTTTTTCTATTTCAATGCCTACTCTATTTTGATTATAATGTTTGGTTAACAATGGATTCACTATTTAAAGTATCCTCGATAATTGTGAAGTATCGTGAACTGTACGTGAATACGGCTGAGCAAGCGTGGGAGTTTTATTGTAAACACGACGCCAAATACATCAAGGACATTAAGGCGTTGTCCTAATACAACGCGATAACGCGATCATCGCGCGTTTAAACGATGCGACCATCGCGTGATCGCGAACTGGGTGTCCTAATAGAACGCGAATACGCGATCACGATTGACACACACTTTGGTCGGGTTAGCAGTGCCCCTCTCCCCGCTTCCTATCGACGCGACGCGATCATCGCGCGAACTTCAGTTAGGACACCTATTCATCATTAATAGGTTTGATTGCGCGTTCGCGCGAACTATGTTCCCGCGAATAGATTTTTAAACATTTTAGTCGCGCGAATGCATCGCTCGATCGCCTATTAGGACACCTGTTCTAGATCAATATGTTTGATCGTCGACTCGTACGATGATCGCATCGCTCATTCGCGTTATCGCGTTGTATTAGGACAATGCCTATTGAATTGCACCCACAATATAGCGTAATACAAAAAAATACTGAAAACTAGGCTTTATGGAATTTAGACTTCTGATAATCATATCAGTTAACCTGTATACCTAGTTAAGGCGTCTTTGTACAGATTAATCGGGTATTTTATTCCATTTGTGTTTGCACCTCTCCTAGAAAATGCATAGAAAGAAACACTAAATTGTAAAGTTCTGAGTGGCTCAACAATTTATGTTGGTGACTGTATTCATAATAATAATAATAATCATCATAAGTTTCGTTTTTATTAGAATTAATTGATTCACTTTTGTGAATATCGGCGTTTTACGTATGTGATTGATTCGCGTGGCTTTTGTCAACTATTTACGGAATGTAGCTGGTTTTCTACATTCACAGGAGCTCATGTTAAGGCTTTGAAAGCGGGCACAGATGTATTGCAAAAATGGCCCTTATCACTGCGCAATAAAGCCGCTGTCAATGTTAAACTGTCTATTAGTGTGTTGCTTAGACTGTGACTATTACTGTGTTGTGCCCAGACTGTGACTATTACTGTGTCGCCTAAACTATTTGAGGAATTACTAGCCAATGTCAAATGTGGTGTAGCTTTGGGAATAGATGTTTATACACTGTTTACTCTCAATACTTACCTTTTAAACCCTGTCTGCCCAAAATCTAAATATATGTCGTGGAGGATGTATTTGTAATTTGTAAACTTGATAACAGTCTCTCCTTTTTACTCCTTAAAGAGTATGTAAGGACAACCTAGGGCCCCCAGGCACGGATTCGACATATCCATAATCGGATCGAATCGTCAACGTTTCTATAAAAAAACTAGCTGTGTCCCGCGGTGTTATCCGCAGTTTATTACGGATATTTTCCCGCAGGCAAACGTAGTCTTATAGTAATCCAGTGTCTCAGCTAACTCCATACCAAATTTTATTAAAATCGCTACAGCCGTTTAGACGTGAAGAAATAACACACATACATACTCACAAACTTTCGCCTTTATAATTTACTAGCTGTGCCCCGCGGTGTTACCCGCTGTTTATTAGGGATATTTTCCTGCTGTAAAACGTAGCCTATGTGTTAAACCAGGGTGTCAGCTAACTCCATACCAAATTTTATTGAAATCGCTCCAGCCGTTTAGATGTGAAGAAGTAACAAACATACACACTCACAAACTTTCGCCTTTATAATATTAGTGTGATTAGTGTGATAATTAGTGTGATTTGTTTGGCCTCTGCTGTCAAAATGACAAATAGTAAATACCAATATACGAGCTATTGGAAGTGCCGGCTTGAAACATGACAAGAGCTATCAATTGAAGGTCTGGATACATTAGTACTATAATTATCGCTTTTATTGTCTACGTAATAAAGGCACAGGTGCGAAATGAAAGCAAAATCGGTGGTGGATTCGTTTTAGAAAATCGCACTGTAGTTCTTATAGTATGCATAAATTTGCACTAAGTGAAGTGATGATGTGTCTTTAAAGGCGATAATAGCACTGGCTAGATATTCATGATCGGAAGAAATTACAGAATAGTGCCAAGATTTTGTGCAAGTCATTATAGCCTTTAAGTGGAGAACTGCTGAAGCTTGACGGTTCAGGAAATGGGCAGACAGCTTGCTAGTTAGTGACTTTCTGACATCACAAGTGTTAATTTTATTAATTATGGCGGCAGCTTACATCGGGCAGAATATACGCTTTTATTGCGACTTTTATATAAAGAAACCGCTTTATAAACGCAAATGACTTAAAAAACTCGCATTAACAAAGATAGTTTTTTTTGTAAATATAGTAATGTACGTGTCCAAGTATTGAATGAATTTAAGTTTGAGCATTTTTTTTTGAATTTCATCTTCGAACAGCTAAAGTTAAGTTTAATTTTGTTTTTTAAACAACGGGCAATGGCGTCGGATTTTAGGTTTTTGTGTTAGTTTTAGTTTTGATTTTTATAAGGCATTTTGTGCGGTTTTTTTTTTAATATTTTCATCATTTTTTTTAAACATATCTGTCCTTCCCTAGAGATGCAAATCACTGTGTGATTATTTATGGTATTAGGAAATACGTATCTCATGGTTGCTCCAGCAAGTCAGACAAAGTCGCTACATACATTGTCAATGTCTGAAACAATAAAATTGTCGTTTTGCGTAATAGTCGCTCGCGCTGAATCTCGATATTGTATAGGATTCCTTTTGATAATGGATGATCAGTACAAGCGATTTTGATCCTTAAGTGTCATGTCGCGACGTGACCTGAGATTGGCTAACCTTTTAAAGATCAGTGACTATGATCGACGATGTTGCTTCCATAGGGTTGATGACGGCGTAAAGATAAGGAAATTCTTTTTAGTCCGTCAGTTAGTGTCTAGGGGCAGCACGGACTAGAGACGACATTAGTGTCGTCAAGTTAGTAGACTGTAGCGAAGTTAGCTTCACTTTCACACAAAGGGCTGTTTTCCACCAGTCCAATACGGATGACGGGGTTAAATTAAACGAAATCCTATTTAGTCCGTGTAGATAATAAGAAAAATAATGGACACTTATTATTTCTTTCGTCAATCAACCAAAAAATGGGAAAGATAAATCGCGTTAAAGTTTGGGAGTGGGGCCTTGTGACGTCACTTCTAAGTAAAAATTGTACTAAGACGTGACCCCATGCGATATTGCAAATCAACATATCTCTGTGATGTTTTGATTATGTGAATAAAGAAAAAATACTTGTCCAATACTTTACAATCGTCTACCTGCGGATTAAGAAAAAAAAATAGTCATCGTACCTATTGTCGATGGTCTGACGTGAGTGAGCAACCTAATTAAGCGTCACAACAACTTGCATTTACTAATGATAGTAACAATTTATTACGAAGATTATTATGATGTTACGTATAAAATTAGCAGTCGTATTTTTCGCTTTTTACATGAAAGTTTATATTAAATTTAATTATGTAAGCCACATAACTACAAATTTTTGTCTTTTAGTGTGACATTGGTATAATTTTATAGGTAAAAATAGAATAAATTGTTTTGATTTAACACTTTGCCCCTTTATTAGTAAACCAGGGATAAGCCTCGACTAATAACGCCGTGTTTTGTTCATGCCACTAAAATGCCATTTGTAATTCAATGAACATAGAAAAAACATGAAGTAACTAATCCAAGCTTATTTTTCGTTTATTAATAACGAGGTCTATGTTTAAAAAATATTTTTAACGTAGTAAGTTCCTCTAACAGATAAAAAAGTTATCGAAAGATTGACGCATATTTATGTCAGCTTGGAAACATACCACTAGTTTTTGAGGGCTACCGTTTTCTGTCTGGTTTACTACCAGGGATAAGCCTCGACTAATAACGCCGTGTTTTGTTCATGCCACTAAAATGCCATTTGTAATTCAATGAACATAGAAAAAACATGAAGTAACTAATCCAAGCTTATTTTTCGTTTATTAATAACGAGGTCTATGTTTAAAAAATATTTTTAACGTAGTAAGTTCCTCTAACAGATAAAAAAGTTATCGAAAGATTGACGCATATTTATGTCAGCTTGGAAACATACCACTAGTTTTTGAGGGCTACCGTTTTCTGTCTCACCAGATGGCGACACTGTTGAGTGAGGTCCTGAATTGTAACTTTCAGTGTCGCCACACACGGGCCACCGACTACAACCACAGAACGCCGCCACCGGCATATTTCTTGTAGTTTTCATACATTTTATATGGACTCGCCACACACGGTACGCCGGTGGCCGCCACACGCTACAAATCGTCATTGCTCGCTTCATTGTGGCCCGCACCGGCCACTTAATGCGCCGACACAAAACGCCGCGCCCCTCCACACGTCATTCGCGCGATTCCCCACCCCTCTCTCCCTTACCTTAGTCACTGTAATAATATCATACAGTATTCTATCTTCATACAAACGGTCGGAAAGCGAGTCATACCTACGCCACTCGAGTTCGATGTGCTCTCGGCGGGCACCCAGTCGCGAATGCGCCGCCGCGCCGCAACGACGACCGAACGATCTGAATTGTTTTTTATGCAGTTAGCCGTGCTTAAACGTGCGTTTTGTATTGTAAATATTTGATTTAATTAAGTAGATACCTACATAATTTAGTATGGAAAAGAACAAACGACGATCAATATTTGCTGACGACGATCGCTGTTTTTGGTTGCTTGAACTCTTCAATAACACACCCAGAGATATCTTTTTTTAAATTACCTGAGATATTGGAAAGGTGTCTTACCTTTATAGAATATTTTTTATATACCTATCTACTAGTACGTAATTTGTTTCTAATATTTAGGTATTTCGGTTTTTCCATCGGGCAAAATATCTGGAATAATATGTAAATAAGTGGTTAGGATAAAAAAAAGAGACAAACGAGTAATCTACCTACAATTGCGTTAAAAACAAAACTACATAAAATACTGTAGGCGGGCGGCCCTACCGCGTGCTAACGCAGCGCTCGGAATAGGCATTTATTTTCAAGGACAGGGCGGAGTCACAATACTGTATAGATAATATTACCGTGCCTTAGTCGGCCGCTGTCGCGCGCTTCAGCCACTTTAGTAGCCGCTTCTAGCTTATCGTGGCGGCGTTTGTGGCTGTGGTGTGTGGTCCGTGTGCGGCGACACCTAAAGTTTATTAATATGCGCGTGAAATCAAAGTTTACATTAATACAAAAGAACCGTATCTTAAACATTTTCGGCCATGCCACAGTAATGCCCAGTTCCGTTTTGTTACGAAAAAAGGAGATAAAAAGGAGACATGATATTTTTTCTTAGCTAGGCTTTTAAATAACTGACATTCATTGCCACGTAACTCATATTTGCCATAATAGGCTAGTTGACTCTTTTTGGAAAAAGGTTTTAAATGGTTAATAAATGTTCTATTAGACCGAAAGAAAATGTATTGTATTTTTTTAGACCTAGAAAGCTACAAATCTTTAATTTTAAAATAGACTTTTCATGGACATACAAAAACGCTGTCGGCCATTTTAATCTATAGATTTAGATAAACAAAAACTCGTAAGCACGTAGAAAATAACCTATCTGAGTTGATAATAAAAAAAACATGATTTCTAATAAATACCACGAAAAATATAGTAGGTAATTATCATTATTGTATTGTACGAGAATGTAAAAACACATCCTTGAAGACTCCAGGAAAGTTGTGGATTAAAGTGCCGAAAGAAATTAACCTACGCAATACCTACTCAAATTTATTTTTGCGAAGATCACTTTGATGTAAGTATTCATTGACTAATATTTTAAGTCTCTTCATTTATTATCAGTTTGAATAATACAAGTTTTAAGGTTATGTATGAATGACATTTAATTGTTTACTACCAAAGAGACGTCACAATCATGGCGGATGTGGCGAACAGCGTTTTTAGTGTTAAAAAGTATAGACAAAAAATATTTTTTTAAAATAAAATTTTCTACAGCAATCTTCTGCTTTTATGAAGTGAAATCGATATATTTAGGTTCCTTAGACCAAATTCTTTAAGAAATAAACATTAATTTAATACAATTCGACATGAGTCATCTAGCCTATTAAGACGAGTTATTACCTAATATTCACAACATTATTATAATTAGAAATAAACCCGCGTACTCAACCCACAAGCAATAACATTTGACATTTCGGAGATTCTCACGCCACACTAGCGCCTCTAGCGGCGGATTCATACGCGGTAGCCCTCATTCAAGCTGTATGGTATTGTTTGCTTATAAAATATATGTATAAACAAGAACTGTATGTCAATATTTTTTCACACATTAATGCGTTTGTTTGAAATTGGGCATCTGTAAAGATAGTTTTTCTGTTTTTTTTTCTTCATTGTAATTAAGAGACTTCTTTGTTCATCAATTACTTATGTTTGTAGCAAAATAAAATGTATGAAATTGAAGCTGTTTCAATTTTTTTTTCATCATCATCATCATCATCATCAGCCTATTAATGTCCCCACTGCTGGGGCACAGGCCTTCCCTATGGATGGATTAGGGAGATTGCGCCATGACCCACCATGCGGGCTCAGTGCGGGTTGGTGGGTACTAACAACTGCAGATGCAGCCGGTACCAACGGCTTAACGTGCCTTCCGAAGCACGGAGGAGCTCGTGATAGTAAATTTTTGGTCTCCCATCCAATGACCGACCACTGTGAAAGTAGGTCAACTTCAACGACCGCAGCCGAACGCGCTTACCACTGGCGCCATCGAGCTCCTCAGTCCAATTTTTTTTACTTTATCATAATAACAATGATACCTTTACCTTTTTTTAATTTGAAACATTATAAATTTTTATAACGTATTGTGTAGCCACGAGTTGTATTTTGTTATGTCTTTTTTATTGTTCCGTGTCTCAAAAGACAAAAAAACATAGTACCCTTTCAGGATTACATCGCTGTCCGTCTAGAGACCATTTTCGCAAAAATGCGTTGGTAATTGTGTTCAAAAAAAAAAAATTCAATATCGTTTATTCAGTCTAGGCTGTTACAAGCACTTGTGAATGTCGAAAAGCTACGCCATCGGTTCGCAAAAATACGGCGGGAGACCTTGTACTGAAAAGAACCGGCAAGAAACTCAGCAAGGGCTGCTTTTTTCTCCCTGTTTTATTTCATACAGTGTCGTTCAATTGAAAGTTGACATCAAACTTGCAAACATGTGTTGAGGTCAACTTCCATCACATAATGTCAAATATGTAACAATCAATGAATTTACTAACAATAAGTGCAAAGATAAGTCCCAAAATAGCAAGAAACAATTTTCAAAATAAAATGAACAAGTATATGAAAGGGAGTAAGTGCAAGGTTCTCTTCAAAAGTCTTTCTAAGGCTGGGAGCCTTAGTTTTAATATAACTTTTGAAAAATTATCTACAGGTAAAATTACAACCAGGCTGTTTTATCATTCAAATATTGATTGACAGTATAATATCCTTTCTTAAGTAAACAATTCTTAATGTGTATTTTAAATTTATGAGGAGGCAAATCAAGGATAATCAAGGATTCAGTACCCTTAGCACGAACCAATAGCAAATTCGATTCGTTAGCGAGTCCGAAATTCATTGTCAAATGTGTATTACTGTACCCCTAGCACGAACTATTATCGAATTCGAATAGTTTGCAAACCTAAATGTCAATGTCAAATTTTGTATGGAAACTTGAACAGCAGCGGCACAAAGTACGTAACGAGAACTAAAAATCAGTACACATTTGACAATGACATTTCGGACTCGCAAGCGATACGAATTCGATATTGGTTCGTGCTAAGGGTACAGATTTTTAGTTCTCGTTACGTACTTTGTGCCGCTGCTGTTCAAGTTTCCATACAAAATTTGACATTGATATTTCGGTTTGAAAACTATTCGAATTCGATAATGGCTCGTGCTAGGGGTACAGTACCTCAAGTACGAATTTTGACAGATCCGTAATTGTTTTTTTTTGAGTGTGTATGCTGTTGGTCGCGGATGACCTTTACAGCGTCAGCGTTGATCGCGTGCTTGCTAGAGCTCGCTAGGCAGGGTCTAAGGGGCAGCATCGGCTTGAGACGATATTAGTGTCGTTAAGTTAGTAGTGCATGGGGGACAAAAAAAATGCAGATTTCTTACTTTCGAAATTTTATTTGTTTTGTAATCTCAACTTCATTCAATACGTCTAATTATAATTACAAAGTTCAATATTTTTCTTGTCATTCGAATAAAATTGATCACAGCGTTACTTAGTTGCAGTTTGAGCAGAAAAAAATACAAAATTTGTTTTTGGGTGTATCTAACACATGATAAGTTATCATTATTATTATTAGCTGAGTCTAAAATACTTAGTATACTTAATTGAGTATTATCTGACACTATTAGGCTCACTTGCACGAAAGTTCGTTATTCAAGTGTAAACGCTAATCAGGTTGAAGCCGCATTCTATATTTTTTTTTACTTTAAACAATTGACAAATATGCAATGATGTTTTAAACACGATTATGCCTTAACTCGAGTAAAGAACTATCGCGCAATTGGACCATAGAGTCTAAGGCCGAGTACGCATTGGTTCGGCGTCCGCGACACGACGGTGATTTCGTTATAACAAACTCATTTAAACAAATGTTGGTGGTCGTACTGCATATGTTTCTACTTGCACTGTGTCGTCGCGTCGCGTCGCATCGCAGTCGCCGTGCCAGTGCGACCTCGGCTTAATATTTGTATACAATAGGACAAAAGGTTCAGTAACATAAGTCAGTACCTACTTACATAGTACACTTATAAGACTCTTCTTCCTCAAAAATTTTCATAAAAAGATGTGGGGAAAACTACAATAAGATTTCCACACATCGGGCGCTATAGAGAAGTGGCCATCTTTCTATTCGAGTGATCGTTAGCGCTAACTTCAGCTCCTTGATTCCGTACAATATCCGTATCAAATATTTGATAATCATAATTTACATTATTGGAATGTTTCTGTTATATTTCATCTCAATGACCTCAAAGTTAAAGCTAATAAATACACATATTATATTATTATTAGAGCAATAGCTTGATACTAAAGTTTTGCGTTCCTTTTTGGTGTTCGTAAATGTTGTAAGTTTTAAGATTTTTATGTTTAATTTTTTCTAAGGAACTGCAGTTGGAGGCAATAAAAAAATGTTTCTTTCATGTTTATTCTCTTTAAATTTTATTACTTATTATAAGTAAATTATGTCTTTTTTGAAAGCCTCGAGACTCTAGAATTTGGCCACGAGAATTCCCGTGCCTCGAGAACGAAAATAGTTCGAGAAATCCGAAACTCTATACACAACTTGCGTCTTGTATGGTACAATCATGTTATTAAAAGAAAACTCGAATATTTAGGTAATTTGCTAGCCAATGAAAAGCCAATGAATATGTTCACAAAAACCTTTATAATTTCACATTAATAAAAACACAAATGAGCTGCACTGCGTTACCTACCTAATTCTATACCAAAGACATAGGGAATGGATTGTGGGAGGACACATGCAAATGACAACTTTCTAGAAAGTGAGAGTAATATAGCCAGTGCCGTCTTTGACCTATTGGAGGCCCTGGGCATATTAGGATAATGGGGCCCCTATGACCCCCGTTTGATGATTTAACAGGAACTAGGGACTTTGTATTTGATCTGAGGGGGCCCCCTATCGATCGCGGGGCCCTGGGAACTTGCCCAAAGTGTCCACTGGGAAAGAGGGGTCTGAATATAGCCAATAACTTAGCGGGGGGCAGTTACGATTTGCTTCTAGAATTAGTAAATCTTAATTAAAAATATATTAGGTCAGTAATGCCTGTACTGCCTTTAGGTATAATTCTGTGGGGAAAAGAGAATTTTAGAGCCAAATTGTCCACTCTTGCCACCCCCTAGGAATGCCCATGACTATGGGCCGTCCGATCGCTTCATCTCTCCCACACTTAGTTACTTTTGTTGTACTTAACAGTTGGAAACGGAACTCTCAATCCATTCTATATGTCTTTGCTCTTAACAATAGAAAAGAATCCTAAAACAAAATGGCTGCCGTCAAGCACGGCTCGCGCGGGAGATCTAAACGATGTTCTGCTGGATCCATGGCAGGAATCTGGCTACGTCAGTGAACACTACGTAGTGTGACGGGTCGCAGCGGTACTCGTTCTGCCGGGCCACGGACAACGATACTATCCCGCGTAGATACCACGAGTCGCCGATGCGGAACACCATGCCGCCGCCGCTGTCGCCGTTGCAAACCGACGTGCCTACGGTGGAAGTGATGTTAGCGTCAAATCTCAAGATTCAGTTCATAATAAGTGGCCATCCATAAAGTACATCACACTACGCCTACTATATATATTTACCCCTCCCCGTCTTAGTGTGACGTCACATATTTTGAACAGATAGAGCTCTAAATACCTATACAGGCAGTCCTCGTACTTACGGCATGTCAGGTTCTCGAAATACGCGACGTAAATCGAAACGACGTAAGTCGTGACATCCCCACGGACGCCGGTCCCACGGACATTGACCTCGCGACAAGTGAATTCTCCTATGCCGGAAATCGAAACAATTGACGTATGCTCGAGGAATAGTGTCAAAACATTGTTTGACGTAACTTGAAACGACGTAAGTCGAGGACTGCCTGTATTAAGTTTTTTGATAATAGTTCAAAAGAATTAAATTTTTGAATGTGATGTCACAAAAATTAAGACCCAACCCACCCCTTGTAACATAATGACCCACTTCGTCGACTCCCTCCCTCTCCCTTAACGTGTTACGTACTTTATGGATGAACCTTAATAAATAATTAATTTTTCTTTTAAAACAGCTTTATTAACAAGATGAACGAATGGGGCCTCCGTAAGAGCAGATTTAGGTAGTCTGTGTTTGAAGGTTCCACTCTTCCCTAGTTAAAGCACTCGAGTAAATGAGAATGCAGTAATGAGAAAGCACAGAGACACATCAGTGAGCACTGGCGGCAAGTCACGTAGAAACCCAAATTAATATTTTTCTATATTATACTATTCTAGTGGCGGCGACAGGCTAAAAGTATTCACGCACACTAGCGCACTGCATGAAGCTTTGCCTGTGTGCCTTTAAGTCACGCTAGAGTTAGTGCGATTCAAACCTAACCGGCGGCTGTGAAGTTAGCGCAAGTCACGGTGCAGTAAATGAAGGGCGCGCGCGGGATTTCATTGAACTGAAACCTGCGTAAAGTCTGTGGTAAAGTTACGCTCGCTGATAACTTCATAACCGTCATAAAGTTTGAATCCCACTTAACGGACATCTTAATTCAAACAATAGACGAAAAAACCTGCGCTGAAAAATTGCTACTACGCAGATTTTGTTGTCTATAGTGTACGTTCAAAATGTTTGGCGGGTTATATATGTACAATTTAAATTATCTAATATCCACTTTCTTCATAGAAATAGTTATGATCGGAATAAAGCATTTGCGGAACGAGCTGAAATATAATAGTTTTTGCCTTCCTAAGAAGTTTCAGCATAATCCTACCTAGTCTAGTTATAATGGAAACACTTCATATTATTTAACTTCAATGTTCCGGATCACTCCACTATGGTTACCAACTCCAAATAAGTTGTGAGGTAAGTTTGAATAAATGATATGAAACTAAGTGGTATTTAGTGTGCATAGTGTATAAAATATAGTAGGTACCTAGTGTAGACTGTTTGAGTTTTGTACTATCTAAAGAAAGAAAAAAATGACCCCTCGTTTTCACCAAGAAACAAGTCATATACTAGTTTTAAACATAACTTGTAGAATACTTGTTGTGCTGTTTAAACATTCTTTCGCTAACACTGCACAGACAACTAGAATTTTACATTATAGATATTAACGGGATTGTTACCATGTACTTACCTTGTTTATTATGAGTTTATGAGTCAGGTTAGGTACATGTTACTGTGGTAACAATCCCGTAGTAAGGTACATGGTAACAGTCCCGTTAATATCTATAATGTTAGTGACCATAAAAGTTTAAAACAATATATAGAATTTTACAAGTATAAATCAATTATTTACATCACATATTTTGTTTATCCCAAAAATTTGATGCGAGTAGTGTGTACTCCATGTTTTATACATGTAGGTATATAAGTGTGAAGAAAAAATTAAGACATTGGTGTCAATTGGGTATTTCACAGTATTAAAAATAAGTTGCCAATTGTTAGCATCTGTGTTTAGAATGAATATTGGCAGGGGTTTTAACTATTTTTACAAAAATAAATATTCATAATTTTACTAAAAACCCACGAAAAAGATAATAGTTTTCTTATTTAATGTTACGTGACCCAAAACTCTTGGGATTAGCGGAGCCCATGGAGCACCCCCACTAGAGTCCGCATCACACAAATTTTGTTTGGAATCAAAATCGCCAAAGTCGGTGGGGTGCAGGGAGGTCAGCCCCGCTGTGATTGGACGCGTCAAGGTCAGATCATATACTCAGTGCAGCGAAGTGATGAGGGTAAGATCGATTTAAGAAAATATCGATATTTTCTATCGATAAACAATTTAGAATAGAGGCCTAGTACTTTGGTGCGCAAATGCGTAATCATACCCTCTCCACTTTCTTCCAGCGTTCTAATTACATGACGCGACTAGTAACTACATACTAAATTATATATAAGCAACACAAAAAAAAAACACGTCCAGGTCAAGAAGTATTATTGCAACGATATTAACTACCCTAGATACAACGACACGAACAAAATCGTGGCCGAAACGTGTCCAAAAGGTACATTGGACGATCAACGGAGGTCCGTAAGATGATCGCGTGGTCAAAAATAATATAATGCCTTATTTAAACATTGAAAGTCACCTTTAATGCATACGGCATAAGGTCTTAATTAAAATGCATGCGTCAAGTTCGTGAAATTTTACGATTTATTGTTATATGTGAAAGAATATAGACCTTATTTTTTTTGACTTTTCACGCGCAATTCTGAATGCGCTGTCAGCAATATAGCAGGTACAGACCGCGAAGAAAAGAGATGGCTAAGGGCGACGTATAACCGACCATGCATTTGAATATCACAAATATTTTAAATTGATTGATTGATTGGGACACATTTTGAGCGCTCGTGGTGTATCTAGGGTATTTAATATCGTTAATTCTATGTCTTTATCTAGGTCATAAACTATGCGCACTTAATTTCATACAAATCCGTTTAACCGTTTCAGCGTGAAAGAGTAACAAATATGCATACAAATTTTCGCGTTTTTTCAATTTTATTAGGATATGTTTGAAGTCAAATAAAAACTGTTGGTTGTATACTTATGACATCTATTATTGTATACGATGAAATAAATAGGTTTTATTTATTTTTTCCATTTCCATAGCTGACAAACTTATCGGTAAACTTACGCGTTCAGACATGAGCTGCGTCTGAGTCACTAGCAATACACGTGCCGGTGTGAGAGCGATATAACATATATGATGTAGCCCATGCGAGAAAGGGATAGTGTAAAAAGACATCAACGCGTTCACCAAAAAATAAATACAATTAACAGCAATTTAATATAACAGTATTTTTGCCTTTTTGTAATAAATTTAAACTAACCAGTGAAAAGTAATACCATTTTTTTGAAGACTGGAAGTTGTACTCGACTTTCCACACAATTTAATTGCACAGTACGGCATTTTTTACAGTTTTTTAACAGGAAAACGAGAGAAGCAGTTCGACCAACGCTCGGTTACTGAATGAAACTATGTATCGCGACGTCTGTGGGCGTGCCTCACGCATAGGTAAAATACTACTTAAGCTTGGCGTAAGCGCTTGCCCTTGTATGCGGACTCTAGTGGGGGTGCTCCGTGGCGGAGCCTAAAATGACGTCACACGCAAGTAAACTTCCGGTTAAAGTGACATTACATTGTATCGTTTGACGTTTTAATAACAGTCGTGTGACGTACACACTAGTAAGACGCCATATTGTCCAGAGAAACGTTTTCGCGGCAACTTGAAAATGGAGTTGATTTTGATTTGGTTATTTTTACTGAAATGATGAATATCCTTTTTACGGACTCCATAAACATTAGTCAATAACGTGAGAGCGTTTTCTAAAACTTCCCTACTCTGGCATGATTCTTTAAACTTAAAACTAAATTTAACAGCAAATTTCTCTCCTTTTCTTCATGAACAGAGAATGACAAGGATACACTATTGTCAAATTTAAGTTTAGGTTTAGAGAACCAGAATCGACACCATTGTATAGGATTTGTTAAATACATATATTATTATACTACATTGGTGTAAACGAGAAGTTGGATACCTATCTCGGTACCTACCTATAAATTTTCTTATGCTTAGTCGTTACTTATATCTAGGGTTCCCAACCATTCTATATAATATAGTATCCTACTATATTAGGGGATCAAATACGTATATAGGGAAAGGATACAAATTTGGAATACTGCTTTTAAAAAAATCGTATTAAACATGGATGAAGAGATAAATAAGTGAACACTGCATTGAATGTTAGAAGAACTTATATTTATTTCAAGTTAAAGTAATTAACAACCTTGGATTATCACAAGTAGGATCAATTGTGGTTTAATTAAGAAATCACAGATTGGTGTAGTTTAACTAAAGTGAATATAATTTGGAATAGGGTATTTCCAAATTACAATCACCTAATGGTTAACCTGAAATACCTATTTGTACAAATATAAACACATAAATATAAGTCATTCTCAAGATGCAAGCCGATTTATTACTTGGAAAATTTTCTCGTCAGCACTTTCACTCCGATGAAGTTTGTCACAGAACTGTCAATATGGCTGCTTCTTAGCCACCTCAATTTTGTTTCCTAACACATACACTACGTAAAACTGGTATACATCAATACATGGCGCTTTAGTATATTTGTATATTGCAGTATTCCAAATTAGCATCCTTTCCTCTATATATTGTAAAAAATATATAGTACTATATTTTGTTTAAAGCAGACTTTTGCCAGTTAAAGCTTTCTTTAAATAAAAACTGAAGTATTAAAATCAAGTATAGAAAAGCAAATATATACACGCTTCAAAAGTAAGGTAGGTATAAAAATTTTAACCACACTATACTTTTTTCCATATTTTTGTCAGCTACTACACTATATTATTTAATAAAAAAAGTTGGTTACCCTACTTATATCGGTGAGCTCAGAGACGGCAATGAAATGAATTACTAGGTATTAAGTTTGACTAAAGTTGATCATGTCACCTTGTGATAACATAACTATGACTTAAGAAAGCAATTTATTTAATTGACGTCCCCGAGTGCGAATGTTAATCATGCGCATTAATGTAATGTTCAAGAAATACCATACCTTTGAAATGTTCAGTTAACTTTAGTAATTTTAGATTGTGTTTTAAGTGTGCTTAAAACTTGGAAATTGTGCATTATTACCTTAGTGTTAGGGTCTATTATTAATGTATTTTAGTAGGTGTATAATAATATTTTGTTTTGTCAACGTACGTTCTATTGTCCCCGTATATTTATTGTAGACTCCTGCAATTATTGTTTCATTTTAAATTCTTATACATATTTTATTAACAAAAGCTATTGGTATTCTCCCACCACACTTAAACACGAGTACGACACACAAAAAATATTTCTAGTTGTAATAAACCTTAATAAGTAATATTGTATAGGTATGTCGCAGGCAATTTGTATGATTCCGCGTTTTACCGCCCGTTTAAAAACGCTCGCTGTTTTAAAATATACCGAGCGCAAAATGTAAGTCACTTTTTAATATTCCACAACATTCGATAGACAATTCAATCGCCGTTTACAAAATGCCGCGGCAAATTGAAGTATTTGGTTCTTTTTCTTACCACGCGTGGCACAGCTAATAAAACAAGTAAAATGGCGTCGAGCAGTGCTTTTGTAATATATACAGAAAAATATTGAAAGCAGCGCAAATTCTACGTGTTCAAGGGCTTTTCAGAAAATATTGTTTTAAAGACATTAAGAAAATTTTAGGATTTACAAATAGAAATAGTAAAAAAGTCGTGGACAAATGATATAGTTTTTGAGGTAATCCGGCACGTATAAAAGGCTAACGTTTCCATGAAATCTGGTGCTCGAAGAATTCCTGTGGAATAATATTGGTATTGTTATTTGACGTGAACTATCTTATTCTGAAAAAGACAGCCCTGAGAGACCAACGGTCAGCTTAAGAAGTGTAATAATTACCTGTAGCGGAATATTATGATATGTTGTTAGATATTCATGGGAGAAAACATCATAATGTTTTTAAATGTTTGATTGTGAAGATATTTTTTATATGGTGCCAAACGTCACTGAAATATTAGGAGTGTACCTACATTAAACTCACTTTTGTTTCTTTTTAATTATATGTGTTCTAGGTATGACTAAAATGTAAGACTTAATTAAAGAACTGATTATGTTTATCGTGAGCTTAATTTACGTACCTCCCATCCTTCTTAATTGCAAGTGCCAGATTATCTATAAAAGTTGCATTATTATTACGTACGTCATCAATTGTAATTAGTTTAGTGTTGCTTTTGTTAGTTAACTAATTTAAATTACTTTAGGAATTGCTTTTAAGTAAGTCTTATTTGAATAGCTACCTGATTTCTGAAATAAAGACTAATTTGTCCAATCTGTGTTTTATGAAGGTCACCCTAGTACAACAATCAATGTCGAAATTTTAACAATTGAACGATTTGTCAATTTGCCTTCGTCATATTTTTAAACAGAGAGCGTTTTTAAACGGACGCTGCCGTTTGTAAAACGCGGAATCATACAAATTGCCTGCGACATATATAAATCTACAGGTACTAAAAACGATACTGCCATATAATCAAATGATTGCAGATGCAGCCGGGACCTCATGCTTAGTGTTACTTCCGAAGAGTCGAAAATATCTATGGTCACCTTTTCTATTAACGGTTCGTCAGTCCCTCGCCAGTCTAAAATTGCTTAGTTTCTACGACCGCAGACCTTACTTTATTTGAGTTGCTAAAAGTTACCATTTAAAGAATTTCAAGCCCGCGTAATTTGTATCTATTTTCGAATATGAGAACTTATTGAAGAAGCCTTTGCAAGTGTCCGTGTTATAAATTTCTGATCATTGATCTTGTTATTGACCTTTGCAAAAGTGGGTTAACTTTCCCGATTACAAGGTGGATGAACTAACATAATTCCTCCATTTCTCACCCAAACAAATCCGAAAAATAGCCCCTGCGAAATATATAAGCGCTGCGAAGAAATAATTTTTGGGGTAACAGATCCCTAAAATTCAAAATCTTGGTCACCAATCTTATAAGTGGTCACAGTCAAGGGGACTTACCGTTTTTATATCCCGCACAGTAGGTATACTCCGATGTGAAGCGAACGAAGAACTCGCTGTATGAACGGATGCAGGTCTCCGTGTCCACCACTGGCATCTCCACCAAGCTCAGTTCTTCGGTAGCCACGCCAGTATCATCGAAACCCCACCCAACCACCTGCGAAAATACCATAATATAGTAGATTAAAGGATTATTAAAGTGCGACTCAGACTTAATGACGCTTGTGAAGTTTTTAGCGAGAGTAGCTCTTATGAAGTTATCAGATCGACCTCCGTGACCGAGTGGTTTGTACGCCAGGTTTCATGGTGTCGCCGACTCGAGAGGTCCCGGGTTCCAATCCCGTTGGGGGAAGAGGTTTGTGCGATGAAAACGTGCATTTGTACTCCAGCACAGTGTTTTATGGAACCAAAAAAATTTACATGTTCAGGTTTTTACATAAATAGATTATTTATACCCTAAAAAAGGCATGAGTTCAATTCCCAGAAGTCTAACTCAAATACTTTTTGAGAAAAAAAATCATGAACTTATCGTGACCTTTGACCTATGAAATCTAGAATATTTTTTTATAAAGTGAATATTAACAATATATTTTTTTAATAAATATGTGTCAATCGGGCATAATCAGAGGCGTATAAACGCGTTTCTTTAGCTTAAAAAAATGCATTGGTTTGGGAGCTGCAATTTTTTTTTTTATTTCGTATTTATTGTTTTTTCTCCCTAAAAACGAAAAAGTGGAACCTAGAACTTCGATAGAAATAAACCTACGGATGTGGTCTATTATACATAAATAAGCCACGTGTTACTTTTGCGGTGATTAGAAGATATACATTTTTAAATTTTTATGCTAGGGTTGACACCGAACCTGACCTCGAACGAAAATTTAAATTTGTGTATTAGTTTTGAACGAGTTTACAATAATGTAGATTTTAGGAACTTACTACAGTACCTTTAACATATTTTTATGGGCTCCAAGCTCTATTTGCAAAAAAGGAACGCTTATGGTGATTCCCAGTCAAGGCGGAAGTCATTATAATGAATATCGATTTTCGTTTTCGGGTCTGAGTATTAACTATTAATTGTTTATTTTGTGTGTGTTTTGGAGACCCAATTAGACACAAGTTCATGCCTGCTTACCTCTACGTTTTTTTTGTAACAATAATAGTTACACCTACTAACTGATTTATGCCCAAGATTTGTTTTTATTTTCTGATCGAATGCCTGAATGATTCTGAATGAATTTTGAATTTTTTTTCAAGCAACATAGTTCATTTTTTCGTTACCGTTTAGCGTGTAAGGTACAAAGTTAAAATGTGGTCGAACAAACATAAAGTATTCCTACATTATCACATCTACATTAGGTAGGTACCTAGTATATGTAAGTATATTGTATTCGTCTACAAGTGTTGTTAATTTATTCAATTGATTGACGGTATTAATTAACAAACAAAAAATTTAACATTTTCATTTAACTCATAGTTGACCTTTGTGACAATCCTAGATCATGAAAGTTGACCTTTATCTAAATTCTGTCATAACTTCTTAAAACCGCAAAAGTGAAACCTGATTTTTTTATGGGTGATAGAACTTGGCTTATAGAACCTTTCTGTACTAAATCCAGGTTCCACTTTTGCCGATATTTGGAGAAAAAAATTAAAAATCGAAATTTCGATTTAATTAAAAAAAAAATATTTCTCGGAAACTAGGACACTTATAAATAAAATAAAATTGCAAAATTATGCCTTCAATAATTCCTTATCAAGTGGCAAATATCTTATGTACAGATATGGAACCGTCTTTTGAGGAAATTAAATTGTTAATTTTTTAATGCTCAAATTTCAAAAACTTTGCTACTTCATATCTTTTTTTTAAAAGGAAACAGTGATCTGAGAATTGAACTCTTGCCTTTATTAGGGTATAAATAATTGATTTATGCAAAAATCTTAAGGTGTAAATTTTTTTGGTTCCATAAAACACTGTGTCCAGTCATGAATGTTCAATATGTATTTTCTATAAAAATATACTTATATATGTACAGTATATGTATTCTATCCGTTACCCTAGTGTCCCATAACACAAGCCTTATAGTGCTTACTTTGGGGCTAGGCTAATTGGTGTGTGTTGTTTCTTTAAAAAAAAAATGTGACGCGTAACCGAAAAATGTGACGGTAAATTTTTTTCCAACGCCGATAAAGAAGTTTCACTTCAAAAAAAAAGATATGAACAGGTTTCAGTTCATTGACATCCCACGCGCCTACATCACGTTACCATACGCTACAGGTCCCGGCACGTAACTCTAGAGCTGAACAAAACGCAGAGGGGATAACTGCGCATGAGTACTACTGATGAGCCAATCGGCGCAATGCACCCGCGCACCTCCGTTTCCCCCCAAGACATCTGAACATTTACTTCAGCGCAATAACCAGACCCCTCTTCCCAGTGGGCACTTTGGGCAAGTGCCCAGGGCCCCGCGATCGATAGGGGCCCCCCTCAGATCAAATACAAAGTCCCTAGTTCCTGTTAAATCACCAAACGGGGGTCATAGGGGCCCCATTATTCTAATATGCCCAGGGCCCCCAATAGGTCAAAGACGGCACTGGCAATAACTGTCAGCGATAGAGTTTCGTGTACTTATACATTTATTCACTGCGCCGCGACTTGCTAACTTAACTTCACAGCTACAATTTAGTTTGAATCGCACCATGTTATTAACGATTTTCGGGTTCGTGGCCAGTCTTAGCGGCAGGGTCGTATTTTGAAATCTGGCGCGGGCCATTTACGATTTACAGCGCTTAGAATTAGTAAATCTAATTTAAATAAAGATATCAGTAACGAATGGTCCATAAATGGCTTTTGCCGCCCTTCGAAGCTCTTGCAGCCGCCCTCTGGTAAATATAACCCTGCTTAGCGGGGGTAAATACTTATTCTCGGAACGCATTCTGTTTACTTCCAGGGTGAACAGTGCAGGAGTATTGTCAGTAATTTCAGTGAGTAGGGCTCTGTTCATTTATCGAACCCTGAGCTGGACGAAATTAGTGGAGAGAAGGCCTCACATGTCCTCGTTGCACTAACGGTGGCAAGGAAGGCTTCATGCCTTTTCCAGATACTAAAACAAGGGTCATCGTTATCATTCAGCTATGATGCCCATTGCTGAACATAGGCTCCCAAAAATCTCAATGTTGATCTGTCACGAGCTGTCCGCATCCATCGGTTTCCCGCGAATTTCACTAGGTCTGGTTCATGCATGACCGTAGCTAGGGAGGGGAGACGACATGCCCTATCTTAAAAAACCATTGTCCTGCCTTAAAACAGGGTGGTAGGCCGCGAAGGAACTTATGCCCTACCGATAATTACCGCTGCCCTATCGTAAATACAAGTCGGGCTACTGCCCAGGGTGCGCGCTCGTTGTGGTTGATTCCCAGTAAGGATCTCCCAATGCCGCCACCGCTGACAAGGAGGGCATATCCCGGAGTTTTAGTGGGTAGGGTCCCCCCATCTCAAGCAGCCACTGAGCCAGCTCTAGGGTTGGCTGAGTGGGTGGGAGGGAGGTGTGGGGAGGAGTCTCACATAACCCCGTCGCCTACCCAGCGGCGGGGTATGTGTAACGCATTTCTCCGGGTCAAAAACAAAATTTAATAAAAGGGCGCGCGGTCGTCACTTGAGAACCTTTCCGCCCAATATGTTTTCTTTTACACCCACTGCCATTTCAACTTAGCAATCCTTCAAGCAATGTCTGTTACTTTATTTCTCCTGCGGATTTTCTCATTTCTGATTCTATCGCGCAGGGAAATACCAAGCATCGCCTACTCCATTGCCTGCTGTGCGACCTTTAGAACAAGGGTACCTATAATAAATGTATTCTTACCGATCCCTTCCTCCCCACTATGTTCTTGAGCGACAGGTCGTTGTCGGGCCACAGGCAGGCGGGCTGCACCCATTCTGTGAACTGCACGCGCTCGCGCAGCGTCAGGATCGCGATGTCGCGCTGATAAGACGACGCGTTGTATTCAGGGTGCTTGAGCACATGGGACACCTGGGGAAATAGTTGGAAATTAATGAGATTGAATGGAAACTTAGACATCTACGAAACAGTTGAAAGGCAGTGAGTTAATGAGATTATGAGGATATGAAATCAGTGGAATCTTTCTAAGTGAATAAGATTGCCAATTTAGAGACCTAGGAAACAGTTTTTAAGTTACCAAAATTGAGTGAAAACTTACAAGGAGATGAGATTGAAAAGAAACTAAGGCCCTTATTACAGAATGACAAGTAAGTGTTGATCTTTACTTGAGTACAGTTAGAAAGGTATGTATATCGCTATGTGCTATATATAGCGCCATCCCAATCACTGAGAATCTTTCCATAATACGGGCCTAAGACACATACGAAGCAGTTGAAAGGTAATGAGATTGAGTGGACACTTATAAGGTAAAAATGAGATTGAGTTGAAACGTCATAATTTTAGGTATCCAAAGTTCCGTGATTTAACTTTTTTTATTGGGTACTTAAATTTCTTTGCCATTTGTCATTCAACGGATAAAGAAAAAAGCTTGTTCTTTGTTTATTAGTAAGAGGGTAAAAAGTTAAGAGTATCTAGGTATATCTCTTCTTTATATTGTTTTAAACTTTCATGGTCACTAACATTATAGATATTAACGGGATTGTTACCATGTACCTTGTTTTTTATGAGTCTCCGATATTTCGGCACTGTTGCAAGCGCCATGATCACGGAGTAACTGAAGTAATTGCGGGTAGATGTTATTGGCAGACATATCGGTCTACCCTCTGACGTCGTCTTTTACTGCGTTCGATACTACCACTACCATTGGTCACATTCTCACTATTCACTCGCATTTGTTCCCGGCACACAATACTCACAGTATCAGATCGCGGAACGACACTTTTTTGATTTTTGCGGTTTTTACACATACGAACCACTGGATTCCACACACTAGACAATTTAAACCCATCCTCACGATTGAAATTCTTGTGTTTGGTTATTTCAATCGTTTCCCTGACCAATCTGGGTATGTAGTGGCGTTCTGTCGAGATAATTTGTGGCTTATGGAGCTCAATCCAGTGATTAGGACCCGAATCAATTAAATGTTCCGCGATGGCTGATTTTTGCGTATCATTATTTCTGACTGCTTTAATGTGTTCTTTCATTCGGCACGCTATTGTCCGCTTCGTTTGGCCAATATAAGAACTACCACAGCTGCAGTCGATTGTGTATACACCAGGTTTCTCCAAGGGGAAGTTATCTTTAGGAGACCGTAGAATCTGTGATACTTTTTGTAAAGGAGTGAAGACAGTATTCAGTGAGTACTTATTAAGTATGTTAGAGATCTTGTCTGTCACTCCTTTGACATATGGCAAAAATAGTGGTTGCCTGTCTACTTTGTGTTTCTGGTGTCTTAATTTGTGTTTGGGTGGAAACTTTCCCTTGTATCCGTTATTCTGTAAGACCTGCCGTACATGCTCCAACTCTTCGTGCAGGTGTTCCTTGTCACATAAGTCATATGCACGGTTCGTCAGTGAAGTGACTACAGAATTTAGATGTTTAGGGTGGTGATGCGAGGAGGCGTTGAGATAACGGTCTGTGTGTGAAGCTTTGCGGTGAATGGAGTGACTCAGCGAACCGTCATTCCGCACTCGAATCTTTACATCAAGAAAGGCCAGACTTCGGTCTTCTTCCATCTCATATGTGAACCGCATTTTGGTATGGACTCCATTCAAATTTGCCAAGTGTGCCTCGACATCTTCTTTGTTTCCTCTCAAAACACAAAATACGTCATCGACATACCTCTTCCATAGTGCAATTTCTGTGGGGGCGGTGGCGAAAGCTTTTTCCTCAAAATACTCCATCCATATATTGGCTACTACTGGAGCTACCGGACTGCCCATTGCCACCCCATCTATTTGGAGGTAGTACTGACCTTGGTATATAAAGAAGTTCGTTGACAAACAATGATGTAACAACTTGGCATATTCTGTCGGGATGCCATTGTCCTGCAACTTCACCTTTACACCTTTGGAGAAACCTGGTGTATACAAGATCGACTGCAGCTGTGGTAGTTCCTATATTGGCCAAACGAAGCGGACAATAGCGTGCCGAATGAAAGAACACATTAAAGCAGTCAGAAATAATGATACGCAAAAATCAGCCATCGCGGAACATTTAATTGATTCGGGTCCTAATCACTGGATTGAGCTCCATAAGCCACAAATTATCTCGACAGAACGCCACTACATACCAAGATTGGTCAGGGAAGCGATTGAAATAACCAAACACAAGAATTTCAATCGTGAGGATGGGTTTAAATTGTCTAGTGTGTGGAATCCAGTGGTTCGTATGTGTAAAAACCGCAAAAATCAAAAAAGTGTCGTTCCGCGATCTGATACTGTGAGTATTGTGTGCCGGGAACAAATGCGAGTGAATAGTGAGAATGTGACCAATGGTAGTGGTAGTATCGAACGCAGTAAAAGACGACGTCAGAGGGTAGACCGATATGTCTGCCAATAACATCTACCCGCAATTACTTCAGTTACTCCGTGATCATGGCGCTTGCAACAGTGCCGAAATATCGGAGACTCATAAAAAACAAGGTACATGGTAACAATCCCGTTAATATCTATAATGTTAGTGACCATGAAAGTTTAAAACAATATATCGTTAACCGGTACGGGCCGGAAACAGTAAAATTAATAAAAGATCTACAACGCGCGCGGAAAAAGTGTGAGTGTTTAAAGGAATCACTATCATTCCTGGTGAAGTGTCGTAATTCGGACCTTATCCCCATATGTGTCAAGATAAAACCACGACCAGACATTCATGGATCCGCGAGTGTTCTGCGAAATGCGAGTAAAAAACTATTGCGAAAATCGATACGTAATTGTAGGTACCAATTGGACAAAGGTGAGTGTGAGTTATACCAAATCCATCTCAAGTGCAGTGAAACTCTTTCGACAGGTGATTTTGATATTTGCGATCGTGTTACCTACTTACAAGCCCAACGTACCAGGGAACTTAGTACTATGAAACAAGATCGTAAGTTCGAGTTATTGTTAAAAAGACAAAAGTCTGATGTCCCCTACTACGAGAACTCACTACCATCTCGAACGGTTATCAATTTGTCGAGCATTGAGTTAACAGACGCTGCACAGTCAGTTCTTGAAAAGGGGATGAATTTCGCTATTACACCCAGACGCATCCCCTATGAGGAGGTGATTGGGTCGGTTGAAGAAGGGATCATGCGTAACAAGATACCAGCAATCGATGCGGATACACTTAGACAAGATGTTGCTGTGGTGTTACGTCATGTGAAGCCACCAAGACCGAACATTACTTCCTCCGAATCAGCTGCGTTACAAGATCTTCGAAAGAACAAGAATATAATAATACTTAAAGCTGATAAAGGGTATGCGACAGTCATAATGGACATCACTGAGTATGAAAGTAAGATTCATAGTCTACTCACTGATGAAAACACGTATATTAAGGTGAATTACAACCCAACGGCGAGGACTGATCGAAGCACTCGCTCACTTATAAAAGAATGTGCCTACGCTCTAGACGACGATACCGTCAAATATTTGCTGCGTCCTAGAAACGTCCAACCTCCAAAACTATATGGTCTGCCTAAAATACATAAGCTGAATGTGCCGCTACGTCCGATTGTGAGTCAGATAGACTCACCTACGTATGAACTGGCCAAGCACGTAGCAAAAATATTGCAGCCGTTAGTGGGACGAACATCGTCATTTGTAAAGGATTCCCGCCATTTCGTGGAAATCTTACACCAAAACAAGGTGGAATACAATCAGTTGATGGTTAGTTTCGACGTGGAATCACTTCTCACAAATGTACCTGTGTTGGACTGTCTGGAAGTAGTAAAGGTGAAGTTGCAGGACAATGGCATCCCGACAGAATATGCCAAGTTGTTACATCATTGTTTGTCAATGAACTTCTTTATATACCAAGGTCAGTACTACCTCCAAATAGATGGGGTGGCAATGGGCAGTCCGGTAGCTCCAGTAGTAGCCAATATATGGATGGAGTATTTTGAGGAAAAAGCTTTCGCCACCGCCCCCACAGAAATTGCACTATGGAAGAGGTATGTCGATGACGTATTTTGTGTTTTGAGAGGAAACAAAGAAGATGTCGAGGCACACTTGGCAAATTTGAATGGAGTCCATACCAAAATGCGGTTCACATATGAGATGGAAGAAGACCGAAGTCTGGCCTTTCTTGATGTAAAGATTCGAGTGCGGAATGACGGTTCGCTGAGTCACTCCATTCACCGCAAAGCTTCACACACAGACCGTTATCTCAACGCCTCCTCGCATCACCACCCTAAACATCTAAATTCTGTAGTCACTTCACTGACGAACCGTGCATATGACTTATGTGACAAGGAACACCTGCACGAAGAGTTGGAGCATGTACGGCAGGTCTTACAGAATAACGGATACAAGGGAAAGTTTCCACCCAAACACAAATTAAGACACCAGAAACACAAAGTAGACAGGCAACCACTATTTTTGCCATATGTCAAAGGAGTGACAGACAAGATCTCTAACATACTTAATAAGTACTCACTGAATACTGTCTTCACTCCTTTACAAAAAGTATCACAGATTCTACGGTCTCCTAAAGATAACTTCCCCTTGGAGAAACCTGGTGTATACACAATCGACTGCAGCTGTGGTAGTTCTTATATTGGCCAAACGAAGCGGACAATAGCGTGCCGAATGAAAGAACACATTAAAGCAGTCAGAAATAATGATACGCAAAAATCAGCCATCGCGGAACATTTAATTGATTCGGGTCCTAATCACTGGATTGAGCTCCATAAGCCACAAATTATCTCGACAGAACGCCACTACATACCCAGATTGGTCAGGGAAACGATTGAAATAACCAAACACAAGAATTTCAATCGTGAGGATGGGTTTAAATTGTCTAGTGTGTGGAATCCAGTGGTTCGTATGTGTAAAAACCGCAAAAATCAAAAAAGTGTCGTTCCGCGATCTGATACTGTGAGTGTTGTGTGCCGGGAACAAATGCGAGTGAATAGTGAGAATGTGACCAATGGTAGTGGTAGTATCGAACGCAGTAAAAGACGACGTCAGAGGGTAGACCGATATGTCTGCCAATAACATCTACCCGCAATTACTTCAGTTACTCCGTGGTCATAGCGCTTGCAACAGTGCCGAAATATCGGAGACTCATAAAAAACAAGGTACATGGTAACAATCCCGTTAATATCTATAATATCTCTTCTTTATTTAAATAACGGTTCACCAGCATCTCATCCAGGCCAAACCATAGAGGTATAAGTATAGAGTGGGGAAGGCGGCTCTAAAAGTGTCCGTCTAGTGGAAAGAGAAAGTAGATGAGAGCCGGCTACCCTGCTCTCTCTAATCGCGAATGCGCATTGGATGAAAAACCTACGGATGAATACCGACCAATCACACGACTGCGCAGCAATACCGACCAATCACACGATTGCGAAGCGTCACAAGAGAGAGAGAGAGAGAGAGAGAGAGAGAGAGAGAGAGAGAGAGAGAGAGAGAGAGATAGCTAGCCGTCCCTCATCTTCTTTCTTTTTCTACTAGACGGACACTTCCACTAGTAGTAGAGTACATATCTCCCCTACTCTATTCTTATACCTCTATAGGCCAAACGGTCATTTTACTAGTGAAAAAAATAATTTGAAACCAAGGCCAAAACTCACCAGTCTTATCTGCACGCCATCGACAGAGGTGCGTAAGTTGTGCTTGCCCAGATACACGGTGAGCGTGTTCTTGTTGGCCACGCGGTTCGAGCCCTTCAGTGTGACGCAGTGCGCCGCCGTCACCGTGTGCCGCGCTGACACCAGCGTGCCCCCACAGATGTACTTGTTGTCCACCGTCTGTGTGAGGGGATTCGATCACAATACTGTGTGTTGTGTATAATATAGTGCGAAAGCACCAGCGTGCCGCCGCGAATGTATAAGTTGCACGAAACTCTGACGCTGACCGTTATTGCGCAGAAGTAAAAATTAAGGTGTGTTGGGGGGAAACGAGGTGCGCGGGTGTGTGTGTTGCGCCGATTGTCTCTCCAATCGTACCCATACGCAGCTATCCCCCCAGTGTTTTGTTCAGCGCTAGAATTACCAGGTAGATAGATAAATTCTTTATTGCACACACACAAAAGAATACAAAAATAAGTAAACAATAACATAATGTGGGTAAAGGCCTTATCGCTTTAAGCGATCTCTTTCAGACAAGCTTTGCAGTAAAGGATAGCTAAACGAAGATGAAGCTGCAGTATGTCAGCAAGATAAAACAAAGAAATGTACATATTTTCTTGAACATATAAATATTATAAACAAATAAATAACATATACCGACATAAATATATACATATTATATATACCTACACCAATAAATATAATTTGCAATATTATACATTTATAGATACAGCAGACTAGAATTTAAGTAAAAGAAAATCATGTAGAATATTTTTAAAAATGTTAATTGACTTAGCGTGACGGATCTCAGGCAAAAGCTTCAAAAGTTGTGCAGCTTTAATCGTAAAGGAGTCCTTAACATACCAGCCGCGACCTTTATTATTTGTCCACTTTCTGACGAGCGAGATACGATCAAACTTCCTATCATTACTAAATTATTAACATTCAATGTATTACCTTTAACTATATATATGTTAGACTATAAGGTATTTATCTATGGGCCTTCGTTGCCTGATTATAAATAAATAAAAATAAAGATACTGCGTTCTCCACCGTCTGACCACACCATGTAGCAAACACAATCAATAAAACAAAAAAAGCTGTGCTAATACTGTGTGTAGTGATTAGTTTATGGTGTAGTGCTAGATCGAAATAGATAATGCAAGAATGAATGAATGAATGATCACTTTCTCGTACACCATGAAATTTTAGATTACAATTAATAAAGACTATTACGTAATAGTACAAACGGCGGCCTTAACGCTAAGAAGCAATTCCAATAGTGGTTTTTACAAGTGATTTGTCGACATCATACTCGTACCTGGGTTTGGTATAACGCTATTTGCCAGGGCCACTCTCCCTCGTATGTGGGGGAACCCCCGACCACCAGCGGGTTGGGGTTCTGCCGCAACACTTTGCCGCATTGCTCCTGAAAAATTAAAACAACAATTACAACAGGAATCGCATCTTTATTATGATTATACTGAATCCGAGTCGACTCTATTTCAAATCCTGCCTAGCAAGTTAACATTGAACTAGAAATTGCTGTCAATTCCAATATTTCAATAATAGATTTAATAAATATGATTCCAATGGATATTACTAATGTAACTTTTTGATAGTACTTAGTAATAAAATTAATGATAGTATAATACTATTCAAACTCTTGTAGTTTAATTTCTAATAAATAAATAAGAACGAGATATTATTAATTTTGGTTCATTCATGATGTCGCCGACTCGAGAGGTTCGAATCCCGGTGGGGGCAGATGTTTGTGTGATGAATACGAGCATTTGTACTCCAGTCATGGATGTTTAATATGTAAATCTATATAAATATACTTATATATGTACAGTATATGTATTCTATCCGTTACCCTAGTATCCCATAACACAAGCCTTATAGTGCTTACTTTGGGGCTAGGCTAATTGGTGTGAGTGTTGGAAATATTTATTTATTGAGTTACCTCTGTCTGGAAAGATCGACTTTACAGAAGAGCACAGTGAAATAACACTACCGTTTGGTAGTGTTGTGTTTTTGCCAGTGAGTACGGTTTCAGCACTGCTATTTTGTAAAGACACAAAATTTTCATGCGTGGATCTGTATCGGATCCGCTATGGATCCGCGCGTGACAACTTTACGGAATAGCATTGGAGCAGAGCAGATACGGATCCGCCCGTGAAAATTTTGTGTCTTTACAGAATGCCACTGTATGGCTCCCATTCTACGGGGAGGCGCGTAGGGAACTTCTGGACAGTGTGAAGGTGCTCGAGGTTGGGCCGGTCTACTATTGCGACCTTATGGGATCGGAGGCTAACTTCAGGCAGCTGCGGGATTTCGCGCGTAGATGGCTCAGGATTCGGAGTGGACTTGAGAGGTGAAGAAAGAAGACCCGAGGCGAAGAAAGAAGAGAGGACCGTACAATTTGGAGCCAGCAGTACCACTTCAGAGTGGGCACGGGATGGCTGTGATTGCGACGAAGGCGTTTCGTGTACGTCCGCCCCAGAAATGGGAGAGGGACCATAGGGACAAGGAGATAGATAAAGAATAATTTATAATTTGTATTATTTTAAAGCATGTAACTGCTTGATGTTTAAATCTAAAGAAAATATAACTAGAAAAAAGGTGGTTGTGGGCTAACTATAATGCGAAGAGATGGCGCTGCCTTGCAGCTTAAGAATAATTTGCTAGTCCGTGAGGGCCGCGGTAGCATAATTGATCAGTGCATTCGTTCGGATTGCGAAGGGTGCGGGTTCGAGTCCCGTCTGCTGCCTGGTCCGCGTGGAATTTATTCTAGTTAAATTTTCTTTAGAATTGAAGAATAATTTGTTGGGAGTCAAGAAAGCACGCGCGGTGTAGGCCATTCCGCACGTATCTCTCGCTGCTTCGGCCTGCATAACTAAGAAGGTTCGCCAGGCCTTGGGTGGTTGATTGGATGGGATTTGTATGGCTCCCATTGGGTACCTATGAGATTGATTTAGGGAAGGCAACGGTGCGAGTGATAATTTTGGTACCCCAAGCATCTATCTACATTGAGGAGCTCGATGTTAGCGCGTGTGGTTAGCGCGTTCGGCTGCGATCGTTGAAGTTAAGCAACTTTCGCAGTGGTCGGGTGGGTGATCAAAAATCTCGAGTTCCTCCGTGCTTCGGAAGGCACGTTAAGCCGTTGGTCCCGGCTGCATCTGCAGTCGTTAGCACCCGCCAATCCGCCAAGGCCTTTTTTTTGTGACGCAGGCAAAAACTCTGTTTACAGACGACGGCGCCTTTAAGAGGCACACCGCTGAACGGATCTCACACCTGGCTCCCGCAAACCTTACGAGCCCCCCCAGTGGCTGCCCACTGAGGACCCCGTAACTCTTACGGGCGCTTTACGGCATAATATCCGCTAAAAAACTAAGCAGCTTAGTGCGAAGCCGCGGGATCCCCGTTTAGGGATTTTTCCGCGTCTCCGCACCCAGCAGCCTTCCGGCCTAGCTGGGGCTCCACGGCAGGGGTCTCCCGAGGTATTGCGGGGACGTGCGCAGGATGGCCACTGCTTGGGGGCTGAATACGCGGCCTAGTACCCACCGTACCGCCCCCCGTATCCATAGGAAAGGCCTGTGCCCCAGCAGGGACATAAATAGGCTGATGATGCTGATGATGAAGCATCTACAGACTATGGTGGCTGCTTACCTTCATTGGGCCATAATAATAAGCTTGTTTGCCACCTAGTCATTTAACATAAAAAAAATATTAATCGTTCTGTTTTTGTTGCTCCTTATCAAAATTGAATGCTCTGCCATATTACCAACTTTTATGAATTGTGTTGTATACTTAATAGAATCGAACGTAACTTTAATATTATATTATTATTTTCCTTATCCGCTTATTTATCAAACATCCATCGGTTTCTGCGCACGTCGATGAACAAACAGGTTTTGTTAATTATTTTCTATGTAAGTATAAAAATACAATTAGCCATAGTTGTCAAACAACATGCATTATATTTATAAATTTACGCAATACTTCAGGTATTATCACTTGATATTGTTATAGTATATCTACTTAATCGTTGTCAAATGAGTTTGTTCAAAATAACAAAGTTCTTCTTGCTTTAGTCACTAATAAATCAAATTGGTTATTATTAACAAAGGAAACAAGTATTAAAATACTAAAAATCTGTCAAAAGATAAAAAAAAGTTCTAATCTCTTCATCCTAGTCCTAACTAATTTATAATAAATGCGAAAGAGTTTGTTCGACTTGTTCGTAATCAATCACGCAAAAACTGCTAACTAAAAATTTGGTACACATAATGGAATGACACACAGGATACTTTTATCTAGGTTCCTGAGGGATTATCCAAAAGCATTATTGGTCACGTCACACCATAATTTGAGAACAACGATTTGCCGATAACATAACTGTTCTAATTAAGTTTTCTAATACTTTGTAGATAAGTTAGTTATGATATTAGTGTGATAAGTTGGTTTATTACAAACGATTATAAGCCGAGGGCGTAACATAATGCCAAGTTTGTAAATGTCTACTGATTTCGCAGGAATTTCATACAACGTCTTTAACACATTTGCAAGAAAACATCTCTTATCTATTAGACGAGTCCGTCTGTCCGTGGCGCTGTTTCAGCGGCCAAACCGTAAGAGATAGATAAAGAGAATATTTAAGTTATAAGTTAAGAATAGTCTGATAAGACTACAAACCGGATTTGAGTAACGTAGCACTTCCGGTTTTCGAGAAATCACGAATTTCAAACGAAACCACACAAAATCTCCGAAGTTCTCAATTAATTAAATACATATTTTTTTTAAATCAGGTTTTGGTGAACATTTGGTTCACTGGTTTGCTAGTTATGCTTAATTCAAGTAATGAAGCTAACCTTTTCCAACAAGATATTGGCATTTTCAAATGGCGCCACGTGTAGGTGATGAAAATTAGAACTAATTCGTTCGTCTCTTTTTCATTTCACTTTTAAAGTGAGACCAAGGTATAGATTAAAAGCGCTTCCAAGGAGACTCAATCGTAATAAAAAAAACCGTAAAGAATACGCATGGCACCTTGTTTGGAAGCGTGCGGTAAATGCTATAACCGCACGCTCCGTTGTATGGCCCCTAATTAAGAACTTTCGTACAATGTATACAACCTCGCTCCGCTAATTAAATGCATTTTTTGACAAAATGTGTTTGAAAAATATATTTTTATCCAACTGGATTGGACAACGTCAGTGGAATCCGCTAGTTAGTATACAAAAATTAATTAATATATCTGATATTTAATTAATATATTTACCGGATTATTGTTTTCTTCGAAGACTGTAGAAGGCCTAGAACCACTCCCTCTATCTGGAATGATGAACGTGGGTAGACCTCCACTGAACGGCTTTCCGGTACTAAAAGATACAAGCAGAGCAAGTATGTGTTTAAAAATAGGGTATTTGACAGTATTAAAAATAAAGTGCCAATTGTTAGCATCTGTGTTTAGAACGAATATTGGCACGGATTTTCACTATTTTTACAGAAAAAATATTCATAATTTTAATAAAAACCCACGAAAAAGATAATAGTTTACCTATCTATTGTCACGTGACCCAAAACGCTTGGATTGGCGGAGCTTAAAATGACGTCACACGCAAGTAAACTTCCAGTTGAAGTGACATTACATTGTATCGTTTGACGTTTAAATAACAGTCGTGTGACGTCACACACCAGTGAGACGCCATATTGTCCAGAGAAACGTTTTCGCGGCAACTTGTAAATGGAATTTTTGATTTGGTTACTTTTACTGAAATACACAAGAGAATGATGAATATCCACTTTTTACGGACTCCATAAACATTAGTCAATAACGTGAGATCGTTTTCTAAAACTTGTCAAATACCCTATTGTATGTATTTTATTATATATTCATTGTTTTAAGCATTTATCTGCTACATATATAAATCTAAAGAAAATTTTACTAAAAAAACCACGCAGTTCAGGCAGCAGACGGGATTCGAACCTGCACCCTCCTCTATCCGGGAGGATGCCCCGACCAATAAAAATATATCTATTTTTTCTTTCAAATTTTTAATACTTCTATAGATTTAAGTTAATAGATACTTGGAACTCGATGGTGCAAAGCGTTAGCGCGTTCAGTCTGCGTGCAACTTTCACAATGGCTCTCATTGGATGGGTGACTAACAATTTTATACGAAGCATCGAGTAGGACGTTGTAATTCACTAACTTGATTCATCATCAGACTATTGATGTCCTCGCTGTTGGGGCACAGGACTTCCCTATGGATGGAATAGGGGGATTGGACCGTGACCCACCGCGCGCGCCCAGTGCGGATTGGTGGGTGCTAACGACTACAGATGCAGCCGGAACCCACTGTTCAACGTGCCTTCTGAAGCACGGAGGAGCTCAAGATAATAAGTTTTTGGCCACCCATCCAATGAACGACCATTACGAAAATTGCTTTACTTCCACGATTGCAGGCCAAACTCGACTACCACCTGCGCAATCTAGCTGATAACAAAAAAACTATCCTCATTTCCAACTTTCCGAAGGATTAGTCAAAGGTGCAATTTTTTTTCCTAAATGGCTTCGCACGCCTTGTTCATTTAGCCAATGTCAAGTGTTAAAAATGTTTACAAATTCTATAGCACTCGTGGTCAAAGTAAGTGGCAGTCAAGTCAATCCCCCTTTCCCTATGTTTCAGTAAATGTGTGGGGATTTACTGGAACCTCCCCGTGGACTTCTTAAGGGAACGTCGAAAGACACTTTCCGCTATTTTGTTTCACTTGCCAACACTTGTGCATGTTCCCGAACACTTAATGGTTAGTAATCCACCATTATTAGACACTAACATCCGCCACAACACAATTTTTAACAAGAAAAACAAAACTGCTAAAGTGACGCTTCCTGATCCCGCCAAGAAGTCCAAAGGTGCTATTTCTGTGGGTTCTACAATCAAATAAATCTTGTGCAAGAATAAAAAAAAATCCAAGCTTTTAAAAACATCAATTTGTTAAGCGTGGTATGAGCGTGGTATAGTTGTTCACAAGTCAAGTTCATTTTAGATTCATTACCATATTTTTTGTCATAACAAACGTTCATTCAACGGATTATCTTTGACGTCATCCTATATTCTTATATATAAAATTCTCGTGTCACAATGTTAGTTACCATACTCCTCCGAAACGGCCTGACCGATTTTTATGAAATTTTATGTGCATATTCCGTGGGTCTGAGAATCGGCTGCTATCTATTTTTCATATCCCTAAGTGATAATGGTTGTCCACCTGTAACGTAGTGTTCTGAAACCTACAATGCGCCTTCGCGCCAAAATTCAAGCTATTGGGTATTGTAACGCAGTGTTCTCATATGGGTTAGGAGGAATCTTCTTCCACCTGCCCCTATTTTTATGGCGGTACGAAGTTCGCTGGGTCAGCTAGTATATTTATATTATCGTCATTGTTATATTTCTTACGCAGCATACAACGTTAAATTAATTTAATTTACAAAAGAAAAAGATGTTGTTCAATTAATAATTGAAAAATAAAGAAACAGTAAATAGTAGGTGTGATTTAATTAAAAGAAAATACTTATAATAATTCGTAGCCTGATACCGCCGAATGGAAATTATTCCAGTATTTTTTTTCTAAATCAAAATATGATAACAAAAAATATATTTTTAGGACAACTCATTACAGAAATCACGTCCATAATAGGTTAACAATATAATTATTTACGAAATATTTCATCATGTATTCACATTCTAAACGTCTAAAGTGATCAAACACTTAAGCAAGTTATTTTTTCTACTGAGAATTTACCGGAAAACGTCAAATCAATAAGGTATTGACACCATGAGATGGTGTGATTCAATTAACCCACATCATCTGGGCATGTGTCAATCGTGAGATTGGTTTTACATTCACGAAATCGTTTCCTAAGAAACTTCCTAAAAGATTTAGGGTGAAAATGCCTATATAGGTACAATATTTATTTATATTGGGTAACTTTTATTACAGTACTAGAACAAATTTGAGGTAATAGCGAGTAGCGACTATGGCGGTGTTAAATAATTAAGATCTCAAACAAACTTTCCCCATCCCCCATTTCAGCTCTCTTAAATTTTATCTAAGCATACAGACAACGGTAGCGAATTTGTTTTGTTATTAAAACTATGTATAAAAATAATAATATACATAAATAAATAATGATATTAACATATATATTTGAAATTATTTTTTCTTTTTTTTGAATTTTTCAAACTTTGTAAAAACCTTAGGCCTTTATAATTTAATATGTGTCTAGTTTTCAAAACACCCCTTTTTTATTGATTTAGTGTCTAACTCGGGAGATAAGAGCGATTTTAAATTGTAAAATCGTCACATAGCGGTCTGTCTTTCACACGCTTACGCGTTGTGAGGCGTGCAAAAGTTAACTTACAACAAGGTTATATCTATGAGCGAGCAGAGTATGGCATACCTATCGTCGTCGTAGTTATCATCGTCGTCAGGCTGGGGTTGCGGTCGGGGTCGGGGTCTCGAGGTCGGTCTCTGGGTGGGTCGGGTCACTTGTTGGAATTCGTTGCCCGGCGCAACTTGCCCTCCACCACTGTAACAAAATACCCAAACAAGATTAAAAGTCAAAAAGTCCAAAGTCAAAATATCTTTATTCAAATTAGATGCAAAATACAACTCTATTGATTCGTCATATTTTTTTCCCTAGCACCAGTTAAGGACATTTTTAGTTTTAGTTTTACCTTCATTAACAAGTAAATTATTAGTATTAAACCAGTGGACTACTTTAGATATGGCATTGTTCACGTCGTCAATAAGTGGTTGCTTTCTTTTAATTTTAAATAAAAGTGAAGTATCATCTGCAGACAATACTATTTCGTGATTATACCTTACAGAGGAAGGTAGGTCAATAATATAAATTAAAAACAAGAAAGGGCCAAGAATCGAGCCCTGAGGAACACCCATCTTTACTAACGATTCGGGAGATCTTTTGCCATTGATGTCAACTTTCTGGATCCTATTGCTCAAATATGACACAATGAGATCCAGAGTGCTACCTTTAAATCTATAGTGGCGTAGTTTCCTGAATAAAGTTTCATGCAAAACGCAATCAAAAGCCTTGGTCAAATCACAGAAGACACCTAAAGCATCACGTGACTCCTCCCAGGCATCAAAAATATGCTGTAAGAGCTCTACACCTCACTTAGGAAATTACATAAAAGATAATCCATTTGTGGCGGCGACATCTATATGCCCCACATATAGACAACGGATGGAGGAAATCATTACTCACCATCCTCAAGAGATGGCGTTACCTGCACTGCGATCAATTGTAGTATGGAAGCCTACATCGCGCAAATGAAATTCGGAAGCTAACTCTTCATATATACGATGCTCGACCAACATCAGTTCGGCCGCGGTTCCAACACCAGTTGGGCGCATTCAACGTAAGCGATTGTAAAAAAATATGGTTTTCATTCTAAAATTAACTTGACTTGTAACAACAGTACCCCTAGCACGAACCATTATCGAATTCTAATACACTTCTGGACACATCTATTGGCCCACCTTGTATTTTCAGTTTCGTTTGGTCCTAGCTAAAATTTTATATTAGGTCGAGCAAAAAGTTTTTATGCAGTTTTGGCATATTCACAATTTCATTCAATAGTCTTTTTTGAATTTCGAACACAGAATTTAAAGAAACAAAAGACAATTTGGAACCTGTTTGTTGATATCAAACAATCGAATACTAAGAAAACTTGGTTTTATTGGTTTACGTGGATTTAATTCTTGAAAAAGTGATTGATATCTTTGGTTTTGCAACAAACATTACTTATTCTTAACACTAAGGTGAGGTTCTATCAATAATCTATGGATACTTCACCTGAAGTCGCCACCCAAGCTGTGGCACTTATTCAGGCTGGACACAGCCAAAGAAACGTGAGTGCTCAACTTAATTTAAGTCGATCTGCGGTCCGAAATGTTTATCGGAGGTACCTAGCCTAGGCTTTGTTCGTCGCCAAGGAAGGCCACGATCTCGGGTCACAACTGAAAGGCAGGATCGATTCATCGTGACGACCAGCTTGAGAAATCGTCACCTTACCTCCATTGAGATACAAAAACAAATTCGCGACTTCCACGGAGTATCTGTGAGCGCTCGAACTGTTTGGAGAAGGTTAAAAGAACGCGATATGGTACCACACAAGCCAGCTAATGGGCCCAAACTAACGCGAGCCCACCGAACAGCGCGCCTTCATTTCACACGCAGTCATTTAAATTGGACACAGCAAGATTGGAGCCGTGTACTCTTTTCTGATGAGTCTAAAATTGTGTTACATGGCAATGATGGAAAGAAGAAGGTCTACCGACGTAAGGGAGCGCGTTTCGCACAATGCTGCTTTGAAGAGAGGGTTGCTTATGGCGGTGGCTCATGGACTGTCTGGGGCGGTATATCCGCGAGCGGCAAAACTCAACTTGAGGTTGTTACAGGACCACGGCTGCCAACATTAAATGCTGAAAGGTACATTCGAGAGTGCTTAGAACCTCACGTGATACCATACGCGGACTATGTGGGCCCAAATTTCCTTTTTATGCATGATAATGCAAGAGCCCATGCGGCCGGCATCGTCAGGGAATCTCTTCGGGATGTGAACATCACAGTTATGGACTGGCCAGCCAGAAGCCCAGACATGAACCCCATTGAGCACATGTGGGACGAGCTAAAAAGACGTGTTAGGGCTCGTCAGCCAGTTGCCCAGACGATGCAGGAGTTGAAAACTGCCATAGAAGAGGAATGGGAGATGATCCCTCAAATTTTCATAGAGCGGTTGATAAACTCTATGCCTAATCGTATGAGAGCTGTGGTAGATGCTCAGAGGCAACACGCGTTATTAAATTAAACCTTTATTTGATAAAACATGTTTTTTATTCAAAAATCAATAGCCTTTAACAAGGCGCATATCCGACTTGTTAGGCGTAGCTCCATGTCGTATGGTATTCTGAATTCAAATTTAAAACAATACGATCGAAAAAGATGGTAAAATGTATCAGGTTTAAAACTGTATCAACAGTTTTTGTTCAATCTAGCAATCATATTTCGGTAGGGGCCATCGAAACCTAAACTCTAAGGTGGGCCAATAGATGTGTCCAGAAGTGTAGTTTGCGAGTGCTAAATATCAATGTCAAATTTTGTATGGAAACTTAAACAGCAACTCCACAAATTACGTAACGACAACTAAAAATCAGTACCCTTAGCACAAATCATTATCGAATTCGAATAGTTTGCGAGTGCGAAATGTCAATGTCAAATTTTGTATGGAAACTTTAACAGCAGCGCCACAAAGTACGTAACGAGAACTAAAAATCTGTACCCCTAGCACGAACCATTATCGAATTCGAATAGTTTGCAAACCGAAATGTCAATGTCAAATTTTGTATGGAAACTTGAACAGCAGCGGCACAAAGTACGTAACGAGAACTAAAAATCAGTAAACATTTGACAATAACATTTTGGACTCGCAAACGTTACAAGTTCGATATTGATTCGTGCTAAGGGTACAAAATGAAATTGACTCTGGTAACATAATCAAAGAAAAGTACCCCTTAGCATTTTTAGCATGAACAAATATCTCTAATCTATTAGACAAGTCCGTTCGTCCGTCCGTCTGTCTGTGGTGCTGTTTCAGCGGCCAAACCGTAAGAGATAGATAAAGAGAATATTTAAGTTATAAGTTAAGAATAGTCTGATAAGACTACAAACCGGATTTGAGTAACGTAGCACTTCCGGTTTTCGAGAAATCACAAATTTCAAACGAAACCACACAAAATCTCCGAAGTTCTCAATTAATTAAATACATTTTTTTTTAAATCAGGTTTTGGTGAACATTTGGTTCACTGGTTTGCTAGTTGAATATGAATGAATCATTTGCGCAAACGTGGAAAGTTAGACAACGGTGACGAAGTTTTTCAATTTTACTAAAAAAAGATAGAATTTTTCGAAAACGCGAGTCGCTGCAGTAAAATTGCGAAAATAATCATTGGAAAAAATTTTCTTGGGTTTTTGTTTTTTTTGGATTTAGCAAAATTCTTGGCATTTTCGCGAAAATTCCATTTATCAAATCGTCCAGTGAAATGAACATGGTAGTTATATACCTGTTTTGTAAGTATATGACAAAAAGGAGATTGCTCAGCTTCCATACATGTTTGGCCTAAAGACCAATAATCATGAAAAATTGTTTCCTAGATTCGAAATTATATATAAATTACTGTAGAAACGAATATTATTGACGGACACCCCTGAGAACTTCTATAAACCATATACACTGAACATATTAAAATAATAAAAAACAAATAAGTTATATAGTAAACTAGGGAAATCAAGCCAGGTACCGAAATTATGGATTAGATTCAGGTATATAGAGCATGTAGATTAACAGATAGTTGCCTGTTTTTAAGTTAATGCTTAAGAGTAACTTTTAAAATCAGGTGTCATCTATTCATTTCCGGTTATAATAAGGTACTCTGTGGTAGAAACTGTGTGATGGATTGTGAATGTGCCACAGATTAGAGAGAATTTTTAAAGTCTCGTTAACCAAAGAAAGCTAAGAGATTTAGGTTATATAGCCATATATTCAGTAGCTTCATTATTTTTGTTATATTTTTAATATAACCATATTTTAAATTTTTAGTGTATCACACATTATAATTTTATTTATTTATTAATGTATAGTCAGGCAACGTAGGCCCATAGATAGATACCTTAAAGTCTAACATATATACAGATTATAATGTGTTTATGGAGGTGTTTGGCGAAAAATGTATGGCAATAGACTTTATGATGTCGCCTACCATCTATAATAATAGTCTGAGCACATTTGCATGTAGTGAAAATGATAATATAGCTGTGGATATTAATACCACAGTGTATTAAAAAAAAATATATAACTGTAAATTAAATTTTAAATTACACCAAGATTTACAGTGTATGTCAATATTTTTTGTGCATTTGGGCCAATTTGAGGAATCTCCTTTGAACAGCGCCACAACAGACGTAGCAAGAATTGAAAAACTTCCATACATTAAATAAAAATAAAATAGCGATATTGCGTTATCACGACTTGAAAAATCAAACATATTACGATCAATTTTATGAAACGTGTAATCTCATTACTTTAAACCCGAAATCTTATCATGGTGGTATAGAAATTTTATAAAACTAATTATATAATCAATAAAATAATCAAAAAATCATTAGCTAACAATCGACCATATTATATTTAGTTAAAACAAAAATACTTTCAAATGACAAATACAATTAATTTACCGCTATCTTCACTCTGTTGCGATGACGATTTCTTTTGGAAACCGGAATTCATTTATTAACAACAATTCCACTTACTTTCCACTTTAAAGTTACTTTGATGTGTTGAGGACTTCCCCCTATACTTAATATGGCTCTGGATAGTTAATATATTCATATGGATTAAAATATTGTCCGAGAAAAAAACTGGTATTCTTGGTTTTTCCTCGCGTGGGAATATCGCCTTTGGGGCCGTTCATAAAATACGTCACGCTAAAATCAGCTTTTTCCGACCCCCTCCCCCCCTATTGTCACGCTGTGTCACACTTTCTGTGACCCCTCTTGAAATATTTCGTCACAAAAACGGAGAATCCCCCCCCCTCCCCAAGTATGATTAATTTCAATTGATAGTACACAAATTTAAAGAATTTTTAGAATTTAAATATTTATTTAGTTTTTATAATAAAATTTAAATATATAAATATGCGCTAATGTCGAAAAATAAACATGAGTAAATATATCAAGTTACAATTTATTGTATAATAAAACTATATACGTTTGAATGTCTATATGTTTACTAAATACGAAATAAATGATTTTCTATCTTGATGAAAATTGAGAAAGAAAAATAGTTGAAAGAAAGTATTTAAAAATTTTTAATGAACGACGAACGTCACGTTGCCGTAGACCCCCCGTACCCCCCTTGTCACATCTTGTCACACTTAGCAAGAACCCCCCCCCCCCCCCCCCTTGTATGCGAACGTATTTTATGAACGGCCCCTTAATACAAGCAATGGTATTTTTTTTCTTGGTTGTTGTGCAAATCTTTAGTTATCTTTAGTTTACTGATCATCTACAGATACTGAACTCTTTATTAGAACCTTTTTTGTATGTTTACTAACAAAAGTTACGAAATTCCGCAGTCATATAACTTCTAACTGAGAAACTTTATTAATGTATGAACAAGTACTAATAGCAAACTTACAACTGTACTCAGTATTATACAGGAAAAGTAATATTTACGAAGAGCTTACCTAAGCGGATTTGCCGTTAGTCCTGGAGTTCGTTAACCTTTCCAGAACAGTACCCCTAGCACGAACCAATATCGAATTCGTATCGTTTGCGAGTCCGAAATGTCAATGTGAAATTTTGTATGGAAACTTCAACAGCAGCGCCACTTTGGACGTAACGGGAACTAAAAATCAGTACACATTTGACAATGACATTTCGGACTCGCAAACGTTACGAATTCGATTTTGGTTCGTGCTAGGGGTACAGAGAACATCACAGTAAAAAAACACAACGCGGGCGGCTGTGGAGCCCAAAGCCTCGAAAGATATATTTATTGACACATAGACGGCATTTTATGTGACTTAAAATACATCTCTTATTTATTAGACAATTTTTTTTTCTCAATCAGGTTTTGGTGAACATTTGGTTCACTGGTTTGCTAGTTTTTTTTATATTTTTATAAAATTTACATAGTCTTACATGCAAAATAAACAGTAATCGTTGGATGCAAATAATTCATACTTATTTTGTTTAAAAACGTGTAAAATAAAAATTTACCTATTATAAATTAATTAAAAAAACTCCTCCTCCCTGCCAAAACCCGAATCAAATGACAAAAACAAGTTAAACATATTTCACGAAAGGGTACTTTCTTCGAAACGGCCATTCGACTGCAAAGACTATTTTTTACTTGTTTTTGATAAGTTCTTGTTTTGACAGGCAGTCATGTTTTTTTATTATTTATTTCTGCATTGATCTATATCATCGTGTGCCTATTAATGCCCCCATTGCTGGGGCACAGGCCTTCCGTATGGATGAAATAGGAAGATTGGGCCATGACCCACCACGAGGCTCAGTGCATAATGGCGGGTGCTAACGACTGCAGATGCAGCCTGGACCAACGGTTTATAACGTGCCTTCCGAAGCACGCACTTTGCATTGATAACATTAATAAATATTGATATACTCACATATCTACAGGATTCGGTGAGTTCACAGGGTGTTTGAACACGGGGTACTCTGGAGTTTCGGTTGTTGGTTTCGGCCTTGCTTGTACAGTTCCAGGCCTCGTCTCCGGCCTTCCCACAGCTGGGGCTGGATTATCAGCGTTGCAGATCTCTCTGCCGTTCAACCTGATGGCCTTCAACTTGGGCGTGGGTGGGTTCAAAGTGTTGTATTGCACGAAGAAGCGCACCGCTACCGCCGGGCCTGGGTGTATCATCATCTTCGTATTTTCGATCTTGAAGTCTATATTGTCCGCCGTGGTCACATCGCCGATCCAGTTCTGGAGATGAGGGGAATTAATGAGAATTAAGGCCAATAGCTGCGCATTGGGATAGGCAGATTTATCGAAGCATATTACTTTCTAAGTGTCGCCGCATACGGGCCACCGACCATACCACAAAACGCCGCCACCGGCATATTTCTTGTAGTTTTCATACACTTTATATGGACTCGCCACACACGGTACGCCGGTGGCCGCCACACGCTACAAATCGTCGTTGCTCGCTTCTTGTGGCCCGCACCGGCCACTTAAGCGCCGATATAAAACGCAGCCACACGTCACTCGCGCGATTCCCCACCCCTCTCTCCCTTACCTCAGTCAGCCGCTGTCGCGCGCTTCAGCCACTTTAGTAGCCGCTTCTAGCTTCTCGTGGTGGCGTTTGTGGCTGTGGCGTGTGGCCCGTGTGCGGCGACACTATTAATCATAATCAAAAGCATTTATTCAGTTTAGGCTGTTACGAGCATGTACGACCGGCCAGGCTCTATGCCAGGCGGTTTGTACTGGAACACATGTGGAAACGGCGATATCGGCACTTGATACACGCATGCGTTTACCAAAGGCGCTAAGCAGACGACGAAGCGGGGCGGGCTTTTTGTCCGCGAAGCAAAAAAGACCGCGTCTGCCCGTCGATGTCTGCGGCTGCCCGCGCCGCGTACACAAAGCACACGACGGCCAGAGGCGGTCTGTTCAGGACGTTCGTTCTAGTAAATAGTCCATCACTAAAAAGCGCGTGGCGCGGACTGAGCTGACCGCCCCGCGCTGCCGTCTGCGTTACTGCATATAAACTGGTTTGTATGATCCACGGCGGGCAGCCGCGGACATGCCGCGCCGGCACTGCCCGCGGTCTTTTTGCCCTCTGTGTGCGTTTGAAGTATACGATTCACTTTGTGCTATTATTCGCGGCGAAATTGACCGGCCCGCCACGCCCCGTCGTCTGCTAAACGCCTAACTGTCTGCTTATACTCACCCCCAATATATCAGCCTTCCTATCCAGTACGATATTCAGCCACAACGAGTGCAGTGTGCTGTCAGTAGACAGGTTGACGTTTCCGTACCACCGGCCGGGCTCCGTACCAGGCGGCTCGTATTGGAACACGTTGGGGCATGGCGATATCGGAACATCCTGCTGCTCGTGGCTGGGCACCGCTAAAGCAACCAGCACCAAGCATAGCGCCTTGATCTGAAAACGAATACGTTTTATTCCAGTCTTATAAAATAATTATTAATGAACTAATTATAAAATTATATACATTTTTCAGTAGTTCAATGATGGTAGATTAGTTTTATGAAAGTTTTTGATAGTAATTCTATTTAATTCAATATCAAAATACGAGGTAAACCTGCATAATTTTTTGGGAAAACTCATGGAGGTTGGATGTTTTTTTTTGATAATGAATGAGATGGAAAATCACAATTCGAATACATTATATTACAAATAATGTCCTCACTGCTGGGGCACAGGACTTCCCTATTGATGGAATAGGGAGATTGGGCCATGACCCACCACGCAGGCCCAGTGTGGATTGGTGGTTGCTAACGACTGCAGATGCAGCCGGGACCAACGGCTTAACGTGCCTTCCGAAACACGGAGGAGCTCGAGATCGAGACTGCGAAAGTTGCTTAACTTCAACGATCGTAGCCGAACGCGCTAACAACTTGCGCCATCGAGCCCAATGTAAAAAAAGGAAGATTAATACAAAAATAAGACGATGGCTGCCTGGCTTTGCCTTTGCCTTTCTCAATAGAGAAGAAAAGAACTAAAAAAAAAAAAATTTGACACCGCCAGAAGATACTCTTGAATGGCCAATGCACAAACCGTGCGAGCCATTATAATAATAATAAAAAAATAATAACAAAGATAAATATGAAATGAAGTCATAATAATGAAGAATTGGCTGTATGGATTTCATCCAAGGCCGTTAAACTTAAAAAAAAAAGTCGAATAAGGCTACGCTAAGCCTCTTGCCCGAAAAATCCACGGATAGATACTTACAGTCAAGCGTATCAAAATTTCATCTTATGGAAAATAAACAAAGGTGCAAATTCATTTTCAGAAAGTAAGTACGTAGGTAGTATTAATTCCTCGCAAATGTGTTATAAAACGTCGTATGACATACGTGCGGTTTGATAATTATAGCCTCTGCTTTCTTATAGCCCTCACCTACGCCTCGGTCTAACAATATCGCCTCGGCTGTAATTCTCAACTTACCGCACTTATATCATAATGTACTATTACCGCACGCTCCGTTGTATCGCTCCTAATTTTCGAACAATGTATACAACTTCCGTAAATGCATTTTTTGAGCAAATGGGTTATATTTAATAAATGTATCTTATATCTTCATCAAAAAGTCATTTATCTCAAAATAAAAAAAAATGAAATTCTTATAGGATCACTTTGTTCTCCGTCTGCCTGCCAAAACCCTTTATCTCGCGTAAAGGTGAAGTTGAAAACCACATACTCAAGTCTACAGACGGTCCCTTGAAGCTGTGACGAAATCAAGCTTCTAAGGTAACCTAAAAAAAAGATACGGGTGTTTATCTATCTGTCTCTGTGTTCTGTGGTCAAGACCCTTTATATCAGGAACACACGTGAAGGTAGCTGAAATTTCAATCATATACTCAAGTCTACAGTCCATTCAGCTGTGAAAAAGTCAATATACCTAGTTTACGTAAAAAGAGATACGGCCGTTTATGTTGCGTACCTACAAATTTGTACGGTGTCCTCGGTGGGCGAGTCCACCGCCCTCGCCGATACTTTTATTGTATATGTGTTTTGGAGCCTCACGAGGTCAGCTATGGACAAACTTCCAAAATTATGGAGAAACAGGAACATCACAAAAGCCACGAAAACACGACTCGTCAGGGCATTAGTGTTTCCCATATTCCTCTATGGTGCTGAGACGTGGACCTTGCGAGAGAGTGAGAAAAAGAAGATAGACGCCCTAGAAATGTGGTGCTGGAGGAAAATGCTTGGCATACAGTGGACACAATTCCGAACCAATGCATCTATCCTCCAGGAACTGTCCATCAAACAACGTCTGTCTTCCATCGTACAAGGTCGTATTCTTACTTTCTTTGGCCACATCTCACGCCGAGATGATGCGTCAGTGGAACTACTGGTGGTGCAGGGCAAAGTCGAGGGCGTAAGGGCGCGTGGCAGATCACCAATGCGCTGGACTGACCAGATAAAAGCGGCACTGAACGGTCCACCTCACGAGTGCACTAGAAAGGCCGTAGTGCGGGACGAATGGCGGCGTATTGTGAAGCGCGCCACCAATCCTGATGTGACGACCACGACCACTCTGTCAAGAGTGTAGCGCCGAAGAAGAAGTTTTGGAGCCTAATTTAGTTTGATTTGGATCGCACATTTTACATATATATTTGGGTTGAAGTAGAATTTATTCCCGCCAATATACTACAGGCCCGTGTCAAAAATCAATAGGTCATGTGAACCACCAGAGGACCTATTTAAAAAGATAGAAAGTCATCAAATAAAAAGATTCAGGACTATGCCGTTACTGGGAAGCTGTTCAACTGAGTGCGGGTGAGAATTCTAAAGTACAGATAGAGGGAGTACATTTTGGTCATGTATTTTTGTAGGGCATTCTTACCATCGATAGATCCATGAAAAATAACAGGTAAACACGTAGTGCCGTACAAAAATAGTTCACCACAAACCACGTCTGATGCCTGAACTGCGTGAAATTTTTTGAAGTGATTTTTTTCTTTAGATTTATAAATGAAAACTATCAATTCTCAATCTCTCTTTGAAATGGAAGCACGCTACATTTGTGATACTTTGGTGGGCTTTTTAACGTTTTATAATAACATTAGTGATACCTAATCACCAGCCAGCTCATCGTATAAATCGCTTTTATGAGGTAGTCTATTAAGAGACATTTGGTATAATTGTTTTAAAAAAATTTACAAATCCGTCTTGCTATGATTAGAAATTTTTTTTGGATTTAAAAAAAAAGTAAGTTAACAATAAAGTATATTTTTAAAACAAGCCTATGAAGCCCTTTCATTTGATAGGACAAAAATAAATGGGTAGACACACGACAGGTTACCGAAAATTAAATCTAATCCCATACAAAAAAAATTGACCACTTAATTTATTTTCTTAGTAAATACCGGTCAAAAATTTCGTTTTCTAAAGTACCTGTGAACCAAACCTGAAGTCCTGTACATCGATTTGTGGTTTTTTATTGTAGTTCGACCACTAATACCCTTAGCACGAACCATTATCGAATTGGAATAGTTTGCGAGTGCGAAATGCCACTGCCAAAGTATGGAAACTTGAACAGCAGCGCCCACAACGGACGTAACGAAAACTAAAAATCAGTACACATTTGACAATGACATTTCGGACTCGCAAACTATTCGACTTCGATATTGGTTCGTGCTAAGGGTACAGATTGTATTATTATGGTAAGAAATAATATTCGTTACGTCTTTAACAATCTTTTTCCTATTCACCTTGACATTTAATAATGAAACTTTTAATCATATACTTATAATTCGCGCAAATTCATCTTTTATGTATAATTTACTGTTTCGTGTTATAATATTTTATTTTATATTGCGAACCTTCACAACGTTGAAGAAATACATAGTAATACTTAACGATATTTTAAACGTACAAACTTCCTCTTTTTAAATATTAGTTGGGTTAAAGTAAATATAATAAGTAATCTTTGTACAGTAAGCAATATATCAAGTTATTGCAAAATCTCAAATTAACTTTCTAAAATCGATACGAAGAAATCAGTCAATTTTGGATAAAATGAACTGTGACTATGTGGTCGTGGTCGGCTGACATGAAGTGGTTTATGAGAGACTAACGGCCCGCCCTCGGTTCGCTTCGGTGTAGAGCTGAAGTGTAGACTACAGTTTTTGTTCTCAGTTTTGTATTATACACAATGAAATTCATCTTTGATTCTTCTTATACCTGCATGCAAAGTCTCAGCCCGATCGGTTTAAAATTGACAAAGTTTGATACAAACTTTCATTCCCTATTTTATCCCCTTGGGGGTAGAATTGATCAAAATCCTTTCTTAGCGGATGTCTACGTCATAACATCTACCTGCATGCCAAATTTCAGCCCGATCCGTCCAGTGGTTTGGGCTGTGCGTTGATAGATCACTATGTCAGTCAGTCACCTTTGAGTTTTATTAGGTATAGATATGTCGAATCGTCTGATTCTCTCTTCGGGTGATCAGAGGGCTGGCAGCTATTTCGCGCAGAGAATCAGTTTAGCCATTCAGCAAGGTAATGCTGCCAGTGTTCTGGGTACCATACCCCAAATTGGAATTTTGGATGACATATTCTTCTTGTGACAATGTACGAGTATATAAATATTTTAGGGTTAATTTTTAATGTTAAGTTTTTAGTTTGATATTGTTGTGACGTAATTATCACACTAATATTATAAAGGCCAAAGTTTGTGAGTGTGTATGTTTGTTACTTCTTCACGTCTAAACGGCTGGAACGATTTTAATAAAATTTGGTGTTGAGTTAGCTGATACCCTGGATTAACACATAGGCTACATTTTACTGCGGGAAAATATCTTATTTCGATGGGAAAATCGATGCAAATGAATTTTGTTTAAGTAGGTACATATTTTTTGACATTCATGTCAAAGCTATTTTGATAGATTAATATTTCATACATATTTCTAGGACAACGATATTGTTATAATTTTTTTGTGTATCTAATTATGACTCACAATTGTAAACCAAATCGTTCACAGAGCTCACAAAGAGCTTCATCTATGAAAATTGCAAGACAGCAAGAATCTACTTATGATACTGAACAACGCAAACGTGACCAAGCAACACGTCAGGCAGAAGTCAGAACTGAAGAAACTTCTGCGCAAGCTGATGCTCGGCGTCTGGAAAATCCTATCCGCATAGCTTCTCAGCGTGCATCAGAGACAACTGATGAGGCAGCTTTTCCGCGTCAAGAAAACGCACAGCCTATGGCTACACAGTGATCCAATCAAACACCTTATGAAGCAACTTCTCGACGGCGAGAGCATGCCCAGTTTATGGCTAATCAGCGTGCATTAGAGACACATGAAGAAGCAGCTACTCGGCATCAAGAAAACGCATAGCGTATGTCCACTCAGCGTGCCATTGAAACACCTGATGAAGAAACTTCTCGACGGCTAAATC